TTTTACAAACACTGACATTTTCATTTATTACTAGCATTAAACGATTCAATATAGTTAAATATTCATTAGTAAGCTGTTTAATTAAAAATCTTTTTTTTTCACGTGTACTTCGGCGTTTTACATGTTTTTTTGCAAGTAATTTCCCATTTTTACGATTAATGCATTTCAAGCGGTTATAAATACTAGTGAACTCGAGTGGTCAGTTGTGGAGAACTTCCTATCTGTCTTTATTTTTGAAATTATAGAAACAAGTGATAGTACATCATAATTGTTAACAAATGGGTGCATTTGTAGCTGCTCACGCTGGTGCTGGTACCCATGCATACAAAACGGAGGACATTTGTTGGAATGCTGTTCTCAAGTGCAATGGAAACATAGTTGAGGCAGTCAAGGTCATTTGTTTTGTTTTTCTTCCTGAATTCATTCGTACTAAAGGTATAACTATTATGATTATTCAAAACTGTCTTGCTCTATAATCCATCTGTTTTGTTAAAAAGTCACGATGTCTTAATTTTGTTTCCCAAGGAAAGTAGTATTTTCAGATTCTGGAGAACGATGCCAAGACAAACTGTGGTTATGGTTCAAACTTGTCCTTAAATAAACATGTGGAATGTGAAGCCTGTTTTGCATCTACAGATGGTATCTTTTCTAGGGACTGCAAAATATGTTGTTTTCATCATAGCGAAAAGTCTAGTCCTTATCGTAATTATGTGGTTGCTTTTCAACATTATAATTCTGATGGAACTTTCTAATATTTTTGAATCAGGTCATGTATTTGGTGCTGTTGGTGCTGTAAGTAGAGTGCGGAATCCAATTGAGGTAGCTGCCATGGTTGCAAAAGGTAATATTTTCTTCTTGGACTGTTTACACTGACAAGTTTTTACGATATTCACATTTTGAGAAGCTTTTGTGAATAAGTTTTTCAGAATCATCATTACAGAACAGCTAGTCGCAAACAGTAAGTTTGTGCTTCCGGCTGTTTTGGTTGGTGAAGGTGCTGAGCAATGGGCAGAAAAGCGTGGGGTTAAGTTATGCGATCCCGCATCCCTGATATCAAGGCGTGCTGAAAAAGATTGGAAACAAGCACAAAAAGTGGTTCAGAGTTGGGGGGACAAGACAATGGATACTGTGGGAGCCGTATCGGTAATAGTTTTGTCTTATTGCAAAATATTTTTTTCATCTTTCAGCTCATTGTTTTTATAGTTCTGAAATTTACTGTTCTTTCAGTATGATAATGGTGAATGTAGTGCTGCATGTTCAAGTGGAGGAATCATATTAAAACATGAAGGACGATTGGGTCATGTTTTGCAGTATGGTGGTGCTGTTTGTGCGGATAAACGAAATGCTAGAAGCGTTGCAGTCACACTATCAGGTTGTGGTGAATATATCGCTCGGACATTATTAGCAAGAAATATTGCAGAATGCTTGCTGAATGGGTAAAATTCTTGACTGGACTTAAGTTTACCTTTGCTGATGTTTTTCAATTATACTAGATTTCATCCGTTTGGGATGATACAGTATTTTCTCTCTCCTTAATAACACGTGGTAATAGTTTTGTATACTCAGAATCATATCTGGAATTCTTCATTTGAGTTTTTCAGAGATAATGATGATGATTTTATTTTGACTAAAGTCAAAAATGTTTTCTATTCGGCTTTTTTAAATTCTCCTTATTTGGCAAATCGGAATAAGAAACATGTTCTTGCTGGTGGATTACTTCTTTTTGTGGATAATGGTATGTTGTAATTATGATATAGCAATGTAATGCGAGAAATGATTATTAGTTACTAGGTTCTCGGTCATGAAGAAATTGATTAAAAAATTTTTGAAAACTTTCACATTTCGTTTTTTTCCATCACAGAGCATTTATGATCTTAATCTTCCGTTAATTTTTGTTGCATGCTAGCCAGTGCCGAATAATCCGTCTTTTATATTAATGGATATATTTTATCCATCATTAGTTATTATTCTTCATCGAGTTTTTCTCACATATTTTAGTAGTTTAGTTTTGTCTGTAGACCACTAACATAAAATTTCCGTTTTCGCTACATTTATGCTTTTGAAACTAAGTAATGTAGGCAAATTTAATAATGTGGGCAAATTTCCCAGCTATGTGATAAACGAAAAGTAATGCTAATGTATTTCTCCTTTTGGAAAACATCTCAGGTTTCCGAGCTATGAAAACCTTTTATAGAAGTGTCTTTTTCTTGTAATCAATAATGTAGGCAAGTTTCCCAGCTATGTGATAAAAATAATTACAGCAGTGTTCAATATTCCAAACTGTTTAGAAAAAAATCCTGTTGGTAAAGAGACTTACTATTTCAGAAAAATCGTCAGCAGAGCTTGTTTCATTTCACAATACACAAGAACTGACATTTGCTTTTGGAAATAGAACTGTGGTTAAAAGTCGCTCACGTTCCGTTTCTGGAGATTTCGTCGCTAATTCTTTTTCTTTGAAAGATTTTATAAATATTTGATGATCATAACAGAAATTATTTGTTTCTTATCTCTGTGCGATAGAATATTTTAATTTATTACATTGTTTTGTCATGGTTTTCATGTTTGATACCTCATTTTGGTAAAATTTGAATCTCATATAAACCGTCTTTATACAGATTAATTGCAAGAATGTCTTACCTCGGTTATTTTATAGATTTCGTTTAATCAATGACAGTATATAGCTAAAGCTAGTTTGTTTTTGTCTTGAAATTTTCACAGAATTAGATGCGGTGTTTTAGAATTAGATGAAGAAGCCGATAAGGTTGAATGAATATTATGTTCATATCAAGTATTCTTGTCCAGATTTGCATTAAGAGAAAATAAGGTGATGCAGAATCTAGATAAATTTGTAATCCCTTCTCGGGATGATGACTTATTGGAAGGGAGTTTTGATTTTTATACTATAAGTATCCGGCCGGAACTCGATGAAATTATTTCGAAAGTGTTTCGTAAGTTTTTCATTGCCTTGAAGCAAAAGATCAGGAGACATAAATGTTTTTAAATATTTGAAGTATTTTACAAATTTGCATCGAAGCAGTAAATTTTTTGAACGACTTTTCTAGTGAGAATTTGAAGTATGGAAGTCGTAAGAAACCAATTAAAGAAATATGAAGTGCTCTATTATTTGTAATTATTATTTCAGAATTTCGACATGATATAGATTCAGGCCGCTGGGCACGAATCATTGATAGATTTGACCATTTGTTCTTCACCATAAAGTAAGTTTAAACAGTTTTAAAAATTTCGGAATATATGACTTATTTCATCTGTTTGATGAATCTGTTAATTATATTTAAAAGTTTTTTCAAAATTTTTCAAAATTAACGCATTTTAATATCTTGAATGTGATATTTTCATCAGTTTTAGGCCATTTTCTGAAGGTGAACCATGGCGTCTTCGTTCTCAGTTGATTTCATTTTTGAATTCTGGTATGTACCATTAGTTGAGAAGTTTTTCTTTGTGTATGCAGTGAATATTGAGATTTAAAAGTCATATATTATTAGGTCTAAAGCTCACATTAGACAGTATCGAGGAGTTATTGCCAATGCTTACAAGTGAGGCTGAAACAGAGTTGGCTCAAGATCTCTTTACCGAAAGAGAATTGCATGCTAAAGCGCTTCTAATGTATATTTACCTCTTGTGTAGACTTGCTGTACTTTTCGAAAAGGAATCATCAAATAGGTATATTTCTCTTTAACTTATAGACAAGTTTAATTTGGAAATTTAGACTTTATATTTTTTTAATACTTTTGCTTTTATGTTTCAATTTTTGAAAAATATGTTAACGTGTTCAGTATTTTTTAATGGTACTTTTTTCTTGTAAATCGTCTACTTTTTATCCCTCATCCTACTAAAACTAAAATTTTTCCCAAATTCCGCTTCAAAGTCATTTATATTCAATTTCAGCACTATAAATTTTTTAATTATTCATTTGTAGTGTTGAATTTGAATGTTTTTTTACTGGCTTTCAGACCAATAGAAGTAGCCAGCACTAAAAAAGGGCGAAAAGCAATGCCAGAAAAAGCAGATGATCAGTATATGACCCAGTGGATAAGTGATCGTGCCAATACTTTGAAATTATTGCACCGTACTTTTTCGTTGAATAGTTTAGATGCTCAAGGACGAAAACGCAGCACAGCAATTCGTTTTCTTTGGCATCCTTCTATTGTACCATCGGAGTTACTGAGGTATATTTTTTTATTATTAGCTAGTACAAAAATCTTACCATATCTAGAAAACTGATGAATAAATCGTTGTACATTAAAAATTGATAAAATGTTTTGAGGAAAATCACAAAATTGTTTGAAATTTTTTAAAGTCTATCTTTTAAGTGCTTTTAGGATTTCAAAAGATCTAGCTTTTAAATTTCTTGAGAATCCAGAACTCAGTAAAGTTAGTGGACGAGATTGGCTGCAAGCTATATTTGGCTATTTGAAAGTTATTTGTATTGACTACAACGAAGCTACCAGTGAGTAATTGAAATAACATCATTATCTAGAAATGCATCCTATTTGTGCTGTTCACCCATTTTAAATTATGACAAAGTTTCATTTTTCGGCTTCTTTTAAAATACATCTGAAAGAATACTTCGTTGTTTTCTTAAAAAAATAATTTTGTATTGCTTTCTTTATAAAACATCTCCACAAAAAGAGTTTGTTTTCAGAAATTGGGATTAAACTAGTGAGTCTGATGAAACGTCTTGACTATTTATCTCTTTCATCACTAACACAGTCACCTTTTGTTGATGCTATTGAATCCGTTTCATATTATGGTGATATGGATATACTTTTCCAGGCAATGCTCTCAGCACTTAGTGAGTTTTGATGATTGATAAGTTTACTTTGTTTATTCCATATCAGAAATATAATTTTCATGTTCTGCCGATGTAATAACTCTTAAAAAATTTTTTCGGATTCGTGATATTTTATTTTCTGCCAACCTGTTTGAAAGTGTCTCAAGCTAATCATTTCCGATTGTTGCGTACTTCTTTTTTTAGTCGTATGTGCAAACTGAAATTTTTGAAGGAAATTTCAATGAAAGTTAACTTTTATTTTGCCATTTTATTTTTGAAGTAAATTAGAGTTGTCTATAAGTTCATAAGTTTAGGTCGTTTATCTAAAAGCGATTTTGCTCGTAATGATGTATCAGCGCGACCATTTACTTTGTTCATTGTTTCTTTGGCCGAAAAAAAGCCACATTTATTGAACAAACATATTGTCAATATTGCTTCATTTTTATCAGATGATGTAAGTTTCTCTTATCGTACAAATTCGAATCATATAAAACTATACTACGGAGCAAACTGTTTCAGCCGGCTTCTCTTCGTTGTGCTGTTCTTACTGCTTTCGTTGAAATTGTTATGGTTGTGTATAAAGGTAACCTACCTGAAGGCAATTTTCGTAGATCACGAGATCGACTTCTTCTTCATTTACAGGTTCTTTTTAGATTGTTTAACGGAATATTTCTATTATTTATCTGGAACTTTTCCTCGTTATGGATATTTGGGCATAATAATTTAGTATAATTCAAGGATCATGTAGTTGATGTAAATGCCGTCGTACGCTCTCGTGCATTGCAACTGTGGACACGTTTGGCTCGTGCTTCTCAAATACCAATAGTTTTTATGAGTGGTGGACTTATTCGAGATGCAGGAGGTCGTTTAATAGATAAATCTGTTTCAGTTCGGCGGAATGCTGCAGCATTTCTAAGTGCAGTCTTAGAGTACAATCCATTTGGGGCTTCTGTTAGTGATTTCATTTTATGTTAATAGTGTTTCTATGCAGTACTGTTCAAATGATGATTCCATTAGTGATAATGAGAGTAGTTAGCTCTTTCTTCACATAGGTTTGTGAGGATTACCTTTACAGCTGAATGCCGATGATTTGGCGGATACTATAGCTCGCTTCGAAGCAGAGAGGCTTGAGATGAGAACGACCAATCCAGGTTGGTTATGCGATTTCCTTCCCATCCAGAACTTGTAAATAGCTTGTGCTTGGAACTTTTAAAAGTTTGAATATTCATTTATGTGTTTGATACAGAAACGCTAGTTTAATTTTTTGTCTTTCGACTGTTCAAGTTAATGCGAAAAATTCTTTTCAAACTTTATGCAGAAATCAAAAAACATCATTCACCATTATTCTTTGCAGTTATTTATACAGTTATGACAACATGAGTTTCATAATTTTGAATATAAAATGGTCGTCGCAGTAGTGTGATAAGCATGTTGCATATTGGTCCGCTATTTTTATCTTCAATCCTGTTATTTTATTCGTGTTTCGGTTTCTTATTTATTAATTATTAAACTTGTTGCCTGTAAATGTAGGATGCCTAGTCATTATTTTTTAATTTGAAAATACTCTTTATAGAGAAAGAGGGGATTAAAAAAGCATGTGTTGAATGGGCATCTATGAAGGAAAATTTAAACCGCTGGATTGGAAAATATGTTAAACAGAGGTTGAAAAACAAGCAAACTGTGGATGTTACTGAAAAAGTAATTGAGAACAGTGCGGTTGATCATAACGAAAATGAAAATGCGACAAGTTTGTATTGCTATGAAATAATGTTTGGGATATTTTTATGTACAAATTTTTTTTCTAGATCTAAAAATATTGCAGGTGAAGTTGGAAATATTTATGAGGAAGTAACTGATGTCAGTGGAACTACAAACACAGTTGATGACTGCATAATTGATGAAGATGTTACGTTGGAAGAGTAATCTTTTGCTACTTTAATGCTGTGACAGATTACTTATGAATTTTGCTTGTGTAAGAATGATATCGTTTCTTATTTTATAAATGATTTATTTTTGAAAGTCACATTTTCAGACTGATTACCAAAATCGTGCTTGCACTTGAAAATCTTGAAACACGTCGTGCAGCGATTAAAGTGCTTGTTCGAGCAGGTCTTGATGGCAGAATCCCTACTGTCGACAAGTACAAATTTCTTCTTAATAACATTCAAAATACTTAATTTCTATCGGAGTCCATGCAGTTAATTATAATCACTGATAAGTATAATGATAGCATGTAATTATTCGCTGTCTGACACCAAAAATATGCCTGAAAGTAGATAAATTTGTGTAATATTTTGCTAAAGTAATTGTTATAAATCATGCTTTTCGAAGGTTTCACTGGAACTGTACTTCCATAATCTTGATTTCAGAAATGGAACAGCTGATAGTATTGCTCGAGAATGCTATGAATCATTGCAAGTGTATTACTTTGGTACGTTTTTTGCTCTGAATTTCTTTTGTTTTTGTTATTTTATTCTGTTGAATGCCGTTTTTTCAATATTCTTTCATTAATTAGATGAGCACAAGAAGATGCAATTAGATGATGATGAAGAAGTATTGGAATTAGAAGATCGTATCGGAGATTATCAGAAGATAATGGAAGAATTGGATAATAAAGTAAAATTATATGAGGTAAAATACACTATTTTTCAATATATGCTGAAATTAAGAAATCTCATTTTGTTTTTTAGAATGCCATAATGTTTTCGTTAGAAATTGAAACTTGCATAAAATTGGGACTACGGTCGATAATGAATGGTCAAGCAAATGAACTGGCCGAAATAATTCATTTTATTGTGGAAGCTAATAAATTCTCAATTCGAGGCTCTGAAGCAGGAGTCCGAGAACTTTTTAAGATAGTCTGGAGACGAGATAATGCAGTAAAGGAAATTATCATAAATGCTGCTCGGGATTTATTTATTTCTTCTAATGAGTTAGTTTCATTTTCTGAAATCACAAAGCAAAAGTAGCTCTGGACGTTGTTACTATGTATTTAAATTATAGGCCACATAACATGAAATTATATTTGTGACTTGCATTTAACAATATTTTAAGAGATCGCGATGTGAGCGCAAGGAAAAGTGCAGAAAATCTCATCAAAATAATTCTTGGTGTTGGTGAAGAAGATCGAGTATCCGTTGAGGAGGTCAAACTATTTTAATTAGTGCTTCATGCTCAAGGAATCATTGCATCATTTATATCATTTCTCTAATAATGCTTTGATTTAAAAATAATATTTTGAGGTTGCAACATCATTTTTAGGTGTTATGTTTAATGGCTCGCGAAAAGCGATGGGATATTGATTTGCTTGATGTTCTTTCTGCTATAGTTTTTGAAACTCAGGGTGCATCGCGCATTGCGGCCTTACGTCTGTTTTCTATCGTATGCAGGTTTGTCTTCTTTTTGTTATAATTTTCCAAAATCTGGATTTAATAATAGCTATTGTTATTTTTTTTGGTTATTTATTTTATTGTTTATTTAAGTATTTTCTTAGACAAATCTTATTTAGAGCTAACAAAGAATTCATGCGAGAAAGATTAAATTTTTTCATTGAACTGACTCAACGCGATGGTTTTTTTGACAATGATGATGGCACACTAGCAGCAGAATTTTTCAATGCGATTGCAATGCTGGGAAGTATATCTAATACGAATGATGTCAGTACGCTACATGAAGCACCTTTTCGTCTGACAGAAACGCATCGTATTCTGCAGTGTGTGCACGCCGTTTTAGTGCAAAGTAAAATTTGCTCATAGTCAAGCTCTCAAGTTATTTGGTAGTTACTTTGATTCATAAATTTTTCATTTAATTAATGCAGAAAGTTTCTTTCAAATTCTTTTTGAATGGTTTTTTCACTTTATATCTTTCAGATGTTGCAAATGTTTCATATAACTGGTTACCTATGATGCACAAAGCAGTAAATACTATATTTTATGTAGCAGCCAGGCCATCTCTTTGTTGTCGACTAATTGCTAGTGGCTTAATGCATGAAGCTAAGCGGTCATTGGCATTTTTTTTCCTGAAAAAGCGAGAAATTGAACAGATTGAGACGGTCAATTTTGAGTGAGCTTTTCGATCCTTGTTTTGTTTACGTTTGTTCAATGTTTCATTAGAAATAATGTCGTTTAGAAATCCTCCGAACAGTGCAGATATTGATGAGTTTGGTGATTTATTGGTGAGAGCAAAGGAATGGTCGCAAGATAGTGAAATAGAAAATGAACAACCAATTAAATCACAAACTTTTGTTGCTGTCGAGGAAGAAAATCTATTAAGCATGAAGGCGGAAGCATTGGATATATTAAAAAAAGAAAAAGATCAATGTTTCATTGTTTGGGAAATTGTAGCTGAACGAGTATGCGCCTTTGCTGGAGAGGTTTTAATTTTTTATGAAGTATATTCCTGTTAAAAATATTCAGTAGCAGAAACAGAATTTTATGCAGACTATGTGGTTCCTTGTATTCTGTGCTTTTTTCAAATAATATCTAATGTAAAACAATAAACTTTTGAAGGTTGCTTTGAAAACGCTTGTTCATACCGATGTGTCATTTGTGGCTGAAATGAAACGAAAAAATGAAGTATTGCACAGTTTTCGAACAACAATAAATGATGACAATCGTGATAAGTTAGAGACAGCCAAATTTTTTGAAGACTTTCCATCTAGTAGAGTTCCTACGACTCTAGAGATTAAGTCTATAGAAAGGCAGGGATTTTTTGAAGTCAGTGAACAGGAAGAGGGTGATCGCTTAGGTTTGACAGGTTTGTATAGTAGATATTTCTTTTCTCAGTTCTTGAATTCGTATGGTCATATTTTCCTTCTACAGTTAGTTTTAAACGGATATTCTCCCATTTTGCTTCATTATCTCGTTCTTATATCAAAACATTGTGATAATATCTTAATGATTCAATGCTTTATTATTGAATTAAATACACGAAAAGATTGAAAATTCCTGCAAAATTTGCTTAGCGATCAGGCTGATCTTGTTAAAATTTATGAATTTTTGGTTTTAGGAGATTTATTTTCAGGAATATCAGAAGATGAACGCGTTTCGGAGCGTGCTCAACAAATAAGCGAAAATGCAGTATCCCGTAAAGGATCACTGTTGTATCGTTTAAGCAAATTTTTAATTGCTGTTGTGAAATCAGAAAAGAATACTTGTTCAGAAAGCCTGCGTTCAACTGCTATATTGGCATTAGCGAAATTTATGCTTTTAAGGTTTGTTAAGTTTAGGAGGTTTTGTAATATGTTACGACATTGAAGCAGCCAATTTTCAAGCTAGTGATTGTTTTTCATAAACTGGGAGTTGAAAACGTTTTTAATGTTCTAGTTTGATATTTCGGTTTATTTTATCTTTTCTATATGGCACTGTTTTATTATAGTATGAAAACATGTACGCGTTATATGCCTCTGTTCTTGGATTATTTTAAACATTCGCCAAGTTCGGAATGTCGCAGTAATCTGATGGTTGCTGTTGGTGATTTATGTTTTCGTTTTCCTAATATTATCGAAAAATACAGTGAGCATCTCTATCACGGGTAGGTAAAATCGAAATTCTTAGTGATTCATATTTTCATTATTAGAATATTTTCAAGAAACTGACGAAAATTGGCCAATTATTATTCGGCCAAATAAAAGAAGGACATGGAGAAACATTCACAAATAATTATTCGTACTTCGAAAATCGACTAGTCACTTCATCAAATATGTTTAGGAAAATGATTTTGATTTGCTTGACTACATTCGAAATTTCCAGAATCAGTGATAAAGATGATTATGTGCGACAAACCTGCATAATTGTGTTATCTTACCTCATGTTAAATGACATGGTGAAAGTACGTGGGACAGTTGCTGATTTAGCTCTCTGTGTCAACGATGATAATGTTAATGTCGGACAACTTGCAAAATTTTTCTTTTCGGAATTGTCGAAAAAGGTTTGATAAGTGATTTTTGAAATATGCATTTATTTAGGAGTGTTTCGCGTTTCAATGTAATGTTTTGAATATCTTTTGATAAAAGATGACGACTTCACATTACTATATTTTACACTTGATTATTCATTGTAAGCATTTCATTATTCATTTTCTTGTAGTGATGCTTTTGATGAACAGTTTGAGCTTGATTCGAAAACAAAGTCAATATTCTGTGTTTTTTTTAAAACCTTATCAATTTAGTATATTGTATGAGTCATGAGCTAATTGTTCAGTTTCTTGCTTGATTTAGGGTAACATATTGTATAATTTAATGCCCGACATGATTTCACGATTGTCATCAAGGGAATCTGTGACTACAAATAGTTTCATCACAATTATGAAGTTGGTTTGAGTTTTTTTTATTTCGTTTTTCAGGAATAAAGAAAAGAACTCATTATTTTTGATCAGAATTATTAGTTTAAAATGTGAAACAGATGTAATTATTGTTTCTGTTCTTGCTGTATATTTTGTAATGCTCAGGTTGTTATTGGGATTCATCAAGAAAGACAAGCAGTCTGATAGTTTGATGGAAAAATTAATTCAACGTATGCAAGGAGTTATCACCAAGTAAGTGAAGTTATCATTCTTTTCTGTGATTAAAAAAAATATTTTATGAGATTGCAAAAATAGATAATTCGTATTTTTGGATATGCCTTTTTTGCAACGCAAATTCTATCAAATCGTGGGAGTTCGTGACTTGATTTTTATTTTTAGAGATGGAGTAGTTGACACTCGTTTGGCAGAATGTTTATCGTATTGCATCTCGTGTCTGTCACTCACTGACAAATCATTCCGTTTTATGGCTGAATCGCTTCCATCTTACTCCAATTTGTTGGTTCTTGAAAGTGTCTACTTGAATTTGCAGTCAGCTGTACTTCACTTCAAAAAATATTCTGTACGAAATCCAGAATTAAAGGTTTGAGAAATCATCCAGTTGCTGAAATTTACAAGTCGTTCTCATGCGTATTTAATTTGATTCTTTTCTTTTTGTTTTCGTTTCTTATTTGAAAGGAACAATTTATAGGGAGAAGTTGATGAGTTCTTGGAGGCACTGACTAAGGTCCATGGAGATAAATTGGAACATGAAGGCATTGTTAATCGGGGGATAGTTCATAGAGTAAGAATTTAAATTTTATCGAGATTTTTATTCGATTCTGAGTAAACAGGAGAGGAGATTAGACTTTCCAGCACCGTTTCGCTAGTAGCTTTTGTTTTAATTTAATTTTGAGAACTTTTATGTGTTCAGAAAACTGTGAGAGAAATATTATTCCAAATTATTTTTTCATATGAAAAAATAAAGGATATCAGTTTTCGGGATTTAATTGAAAACAAAAGCTGCAAACTAAACACTGGTAGCAAAGTCTAATCTCTTCTCCTGCTTACTCCAGAATCGAATCGAAAAAATCTGTAATAAAGATAGAAATTCTATTTGGGTATTGTATATTCATTTTTGTTCGTATAAGTTTGCTCTACTCTGCGGGCATTGTTAGCTTTTAAATGAAGAGATGTTTTTCAGAAAAAATTCAAGGCACCTCTGAAAGCGAAGAAAACTCGTTGATACTTATTTTGTCAGTAGTAATGAAGTTTTAAGTGAGTAAAAAGTTCCATTCATTCATTGCTATTAATATTGTTATTGTGAGAATGCATCCACTGCTCAATTTTCAATCTTATGTTGTTTTTTAAAAGCATATTATTATATTATATTGTGATTAGTATCAATAAAAAATTGTTACATTTGAATAGACTCCTTTTTAAAGCTAACAGATACGGTGATAGTTGTTCATTTTCATATAAAAGTACTGAAATAGAAGTACAGTATGAACAGTAATATTTAAAAATATTGTTTCTCAAAGTTGTGTGTATATTTATTGGTTTTTTGGCAAGTTTTTACTGAGGAAAGTGGTTATATAGTCTTGTGTGCTTCATAATTAGAAGGAAAAAAGCTTACTGTAGTTGACTGAGACTTTATTGATTGCAGAGTTAAGATAGATGTGAGATAAAGGCTGCAGATTGTAATGGATAAGAATGAACACACATTGAACTCGTGTCTGATGATACAAATATGAAGGAAGTGTAGCAGCTGCAATCGGTAGCGTGTATTGTTACATGAAAGCTGTTTATAATTTGGTGGTGAGGATGAAGTGTATGTAAGTCAGGTAAAGAAGAGGGGCGGTGATGGCGTGAATGTGTAAATGTATTAGTATGAGCAGACATGTGTAAGGAGACGTGTGGAAGAGTAAGGAAGGAGGATTTTAGCTGATGTGTGTAATAGTTTGTGGCAGAGAATAGCGTATTCAGTTTGATCAGCTTTCTTCATTGTTCACTTGAGATGGATCAGACTGTGCTTGAATTTGAATCAACTGCTCAGCATTGTCAGCAGCAACAGCAAAATCAACAAGAGAAGGTATCAAATTTTGTGTATTTAATTCCGTAATACTGTACAAGCTTATATTTCTCTTCTTTACTGTGTATTTTTTTATCTATTTTTTTGCCTTGGATTACCGCACATTTTTTATTCGTGAATACCTGCTGTCTCCAAATTTTCGAATGTTAATTGTTGATGAAGGATTATTTTGCATTGTGTTGGTCTAACAACTCCACTTCGCCGCAAGCTACTTTTGTTATGAAGTTAATATCGATAGCAGCATTTTATTATTGTTATCATTACTTGTTGTTGATTACTTTATGCATATGTCAGAATTTTTTGAAGAATGCACAGTTTGTAATGAAAGAATAAATATTTCAGGCACAAACTGATCAAGTTTTCGCATCTGTAACTCCAACAATGGATGATGAACATTTGGTTAGTTTTATTATTACAGAAATTCAGCAACTTTTTTGTTTCATAATTCTCAGCTAGAAGTAAGTGGTTATAAAAGCGATTAAAACGTGATAGTAATTCACGACAATTATTTCAGAAGCATCATTTCTTAAAATTTATGCGTCCAAAAACTAGCAATTTTACTTTCTGTCAACTTTTTTAAATAACTTTTATTGAATTTTTGCTTTTTTTTTGTCAGTTTCATGGATTTCGAAGTAATAACACGTTTACTTTACTCAGTTTTTACGGATCAAATAATTTCATAATTGTTTCTGAACTTCGAGTTTTCATCTTCTGTAGTATGATAACTTTACCTTTCATTCTCACAAATTTTGAAGTATTTGTATGATATTTCTGCTTATTTTTAAACGCATTCTTGCTTCTACCTTTCATTTCTAATTTATCGTTGTTCTTTATCATAATTGTTACTTAACATCCATAATTTATAGTTTCTTACTATTTTAGCCCATAACGGAAATAACCGTTCAAATTGAACTAAAAGGCAAGGAATCGGTCGTCGGCAATTAATTAACGAACAATTATTTGACATATTTTCTTAATGCTGCTCATTATTTCATGTTTATAAATTAAATCTTATCTTTTGCTAGTAATTAATTGCCGTTGGTATTGTGCTTAAGTTTATTAAAAGTGTTATTAACTTGAGTAGCTTTTATTTGTTACAAGTCATTTACAAGTTAACGTTTTCAAGAAATGATTTGACTTTAATATTTATAATTCCTGTCAAAAAAAGTGGCGAAAGTTTTGATCATAGAATACAAGTATTAGGAAAATGGAAAACAAAAAAGGTTTTTAAATATATCATACATATTAACACAAGGTGAGTTTACTGTATTATTTCCCGTAGAGTGCCAAGAAGAATCACATGTCAGTTCTAAAACCTCTTATGGATATATTAGCACTCTTAATCAGTAAGACTCGTCATCTAGAGTTGTAAGTAATGAGATTGGCATCTTAAATTAACATGAATTCTTTTGCCTAACGAAATAAAGTCTATGCAATTGAGATATAACCAGTTATTTCTTTGGATATAATCAAGTTTTGACCATACATTCGTTTATTTTATATTTTCTCCATTGTTGTTTTTGCCGTTTTTCAGAGGATAAAATCATTGAGAATATTTCTGCGTACTTCCACTTTGAAAAGCAAAATTATTCTGCATATTGCTATGATCTGTGCATTTAGTTTACTTGTGCAAAATTGTTGGGTTAATTATACATTCTTGAAATCATTGTGTTTGGTAGCACTTTTTATTCCTTATAAAAATATACTAGATATGTATGTTTTTGTATGTGGTGCATAGTTATCCTTCCTTTATTTGTTAATGTTGTTTAGCATGAAAGTATATGAATATTCATTATTCTAATGAATTTTTCTTCCAGAACTATATTCTGTGGTTGTAATGTCTTTCATTATGAATCGCATGCTTCGAAACTGATTGATTATATGGTATTGAACTGTTTTTATAAAGAAGCTAGCGAATTCACCCAGAATAAAAGTCTGTAATCTAGTCTCGCTAGTTTAATTTTCAGTCAGTTTCAGGGCTTACAGTCGAGTCTCGCTAGTAAGAGTACTCAACCTCAACAAATCATCCCATCAGCAATATTGATTGAGTCACAAGCTACTGATTCATCGCTAGTATTTTTTTCACTTTATGAATTTTTCAGTTGAAGTATAAAAAAAGAGACTCTATATTCTGTAAGCTTCAGTTATTAATTCAAATTCTAATCTCTTATTTTGACTCCAGTTCTGTAATCGCGCAACTTTATCTTTTATATAGACTTCCCATTTAATGACTGATACTATTAATTTGACGGTTTTAACCATTCATTATTGCTGTTATATCTGCTACTTTATACAATCACAATTATTCGCTAATTTTAGTTCCTAGAAACCATTTTTTAAAGTTTAAGTTGGATATTGAATATGTGAGTGAAAACAAACTTTCAGATCTCACAGAGCGATAATCCTCAAGAGGAATTCAGAAGTACAAAATCTAGTGATGATGTGATAAGTCCATCTGAAATACCGAAATCACTTTCTCAAAGCTCACCTCCTGAGCATGAAGGTAGCATCCAAGTGAAAAAGTTTCCGACTCCAGAATTAAGAAAGTGTTCCGGAAAAAACATCTCAGGCTGTGATTTGACTAAGAATTCAAGAGATAAAATTCTGGAACTACCATTCTCGAACCGTTATCAAATTTTACTTGTTACAGCGGACAGAAATTCAGCAAAAGGGGAGTCGAAGGACGAAAATGGTTTTATATTTTACAAATGTCGTTTCTGCGGACTTACTTATAACTACCTGACAACACTGCGAGCTCACGAACGTGTGCATAATATTGATGAGGTCATGGGAAATCTTTTCAGTGCAAATTTGTAAAGTGAATTGAAAAAATTGTTCTAAAATTGCATTTTGTTTTATTTTAGCCGTATAAATGCAATCGATGTTCCGAATCGTTTCATTACCTGTGTGAATTAGAATACCATGCTAAGCAACATACAGGTAGCTGTTGTTCTCCATCTGCTTATTACATGATGTTAATCTATATTTGCTTATATTTAACTGAACAAGGTGCGCGAGATTTTGCCTTATTTCATTTATGATAGAAGTAAAAGGGGCACCATTGTACCAAATAAGGAAAAATTTGCACCTAGCTAGTAATTCTCTGGAGAGATAAATGAAGTCAGTAGTGCAGTGACTGTCATTATTATATTATAAGGTGAGTAATATCAGTAAGTAAATAAGAGTAATAACTGCCATAATTATCGTCACAGATCAAGTTAGAAACAATTGCCCGTTTTTGACACTACCTATAGTGATAATGATGGTATTGTTAGATAGTTTAATGTAGTTCTTTTTCTTCACATTTTTTTGGGCATATTTTTAGTTTCTCGTGATTCACTTCACTTTTAACGTACTAAAGTTCATTTTTCGCAGATTTAAAGGGTTATAAATGTGAGTGTGGCAGAACATTTCATACTTACACCGATTTGCTGTATCACAAACATCCAGAAGATGAGAATGAAGAAGTAATTGTTTCAAAAGAACCCATAAAGAAACCTGCTTCCTCTCCTGTACCTGAAGATAGTTTTCCCGTTCCTGAATTCATGGAAAAAGGATTTGAGCCAAAGCATCCTATGAAGGTCTATTCTGATATCCGCCTTAATCCCTACATTTGCCAATACTGTTCGAAGAGTTATCCGAATAGCAGGTAAAGTACAGATCTGTTGAAAATAACCAAATCATGTGCAATCCAAACCAGAGAATTATGTATAATCATCGTTATTTTAAGCAATAAAGAATCCCCCAAAAGTATTTATTAAATTTGCTTTTACACAACCAAGAGTTCTGAATGATAAAAGTCAAGGTAATATGTTTAATCACCACGGATATTTTCTCTCATAAGCATGGAAAATACAGCCACTGTTTTCAGAATGTTGGCATATCATATGTATGGACATCGAGGTGAAAAAATATTCAACCCTCGCGCTTCGAGATATTTGATGGCACGAAGTGAGACTTCTTTCTCTCGAAGTTTAGGAAGTCCAAAAGGAACTTTATAACATACATATCAAGCATGGTTCTGTTTTCAACTCACTACACTATGCCGTAAATGCTATAGCAATTTTTCATAACACTATTAATATGTAGAGTGAGAAACTGAATCATAATGAAGGTTGTCATTATTTACTGATTGCTTACTTCATGATTATTTTTGTTAACTTTATGCTCATCAGATTTTTGCGCATTTAAGTACAAATTATTACTTTGATATTTTCGATTACTATGGAAAAGTGCGCAGTAATGATCTTTCTGCAACCATATCATTGTATTGTGCTTGTTACCATAAATTAGAAATAATTTAACCTGATTTCACGTACTGAAGATTCTTTGATTCAACATATGACGAAGAAAAACATAAATAAGTTGAAACGATAATATAAAGAGCTAAAATATGAAACGAAATTGAGTAATGAAGTAATTTCCGAGTCATGAAGATATGAAACAATATCATGTTCACATATACCAAATGAGCTGTGTAAAGATTGCCTGTACATTGCATGATTGTAGTAATTCTATCCAGCTGCAGCATCGTGTTTCTGAAAATCCTTGAATTTTTGAGTCATTCATTTCCAGATTTCTAGCTCCTAGATGTCCAAAGCTCGCAGTTTTAACCAATTAATTTAACATGGCTATAACAGTGGTTACAAAGGTCGATTGTTCTGATATTATCAACTTCGCTTGCATTTGTTTGACTAAATTTTAGTAAAGCAAATTCTCTAGTTAGAGAAATTATGCGATTTGCAGAGAATGAAAGGACGAAGAAGAAAGCTGAAATTGAATGTTGGTCAGTGGTGCATAATAAATAAGAGAAATATGAGTGGTCAGTAGAATTTTCCGATACCTACAGTTCTGATCAAATGATTGCTTTGACATGAAGTGATGAAAGGTACCAGATGTAAGGGAGTGTTGATTTGAGCGTCTTCGTCGATATCGATGAACATGGGTGCCTCGCTGCTTGGTGATATACGTTCTTCGTCGGACTCAAGCAGTTCTTGCAGATGGGCCCAGTCACTACTGAACCATTCGTTGTCTCCGACTAGCTCCAACGACTGCACTGCCGGTTCTTCCACTGGTAACTTTTCACGAGCCCCTACGATATGTTGTCTATGCAGAGAAACCTCCTCCCCATAATCACGTGATGCTTTACGCCTAGCTAATTCGATGATTTCCTCCAAAGTCTTCACACGTTTTGTGGTGGATGCAGACGTGGAACATACCGGAGTGTTGTTGTTGCTATTTATCATCGACTCCGTCTCAATTTCTGCAATCCAAACAAAGCATTATTATTGCTAATATTACTAATATTAATGAGTTCAGTATTTACAGCTAAATTAAACTGAATTTTCGAGAAGGAAAAAATGAATTGATGTGTAATGGTAATGGACTTGCAATAAATCATGAGAAGTACGAATGAGGCCGTCTTGCTTGTTCACCAAATATCGATAGCCGTAGTTAAAAAGTATCAAACCTCGAATGAGTAAGTGGTTTCCTCTACGTAAGCGACTACTACTAGCTTTGAGCTCGAAGTCAGTAGAACTGCCAGAAGCGGAAGACATTTGTTGACGTTGACGATGAACGCAAAGACAAGACCTGTTACAATCAGTTACTGTGCAAAAAGGTTGCAGCTGCGCACGTATTTTCCTATACATGAAGACACTTTGCTGAGTGGAGAGTGGAGACATCTGGTCTAGCTGCTAGGCAACCATAGAACTTGACTAGCTAGTGAATAATAGTCTGTCAGTAATTAGCTCACATATTCGCTAGTTTGGTCTCTTGTAAATATGCACAAATTACGCACCTTGATGCATGCTTATTGTTGGTATCCTCACGTCATTTTAAAACTGTCATACGTAATTATCAGTGCGATGCCGTAAGTGAGTAAACATGCTGTAATGCACTCCAAACCGAGTATTGCTGCTATTCTTATTGTGGTTATCAATAGTGTTATTTAGTAATAAAATGCAAATCTATTAGAAGTTTCTGTCTTTTACCTACACAAATGTGAAGTAAAACTTCCTTCCAAAGATACAAAAAGTTCATCGCCGAATAGCAAAAAATACCACTGATAGCATTTACGTGTGAGCTGCTAACATCACGTCAACGCTTGTCTTCACTCTTCTTTCCTTCCTTTGCTTACTTATTATGTCGCTTTATGTCATTTACCTACGCTAAATCAATTAATGCCTTACTTATATACCCATAAATCACTTTGCTTATCCTTTCTTGCTTACTTAGAAGACGTACATTCCCTTAAAATGAATAAATACTTGTGTTTCTTTCGAAATGCCATTTGTGCCACTCAAACGCAAACAAAACTATACTTGCAGATAGATATTCATTGATACGCATTTGCATCTATCATTCATCACCTTTATGATATGCAAAGCTTAGTTTGGTGCTTACTGGTCACTTGCCAGTCCATATTTACGTTGAAGTAGCAAGTTGCAAGTTTAGTACTCAAAATGTATTTTGTGTAAATAACACAGAACATATACTGCTTTCACGAATTATTTTGCTTTCATATACCATAAATACTGAACTAAGTGTCTCGCAGTAATTACCCCTTTCATCCACTTTCCAGTTTTCCTTGTCTGCTACAATTCCAGAATTAACATTTACTAGCTAACAGAGCTTTCCAATTTATATATGAAAAACTTAGTACTGCGATCAATATGTGCTGCACAACAAACAGAATCATTAAAGTTAGTACAATTAAAAAGAGCTATCGTGCATTTACCTGTATCAGGCACTCAAGCTGTCACGTACAAAGAACTGACCTTTTACATGAATCAGATTTATAGTTTTGATTGGCAAACCGGAGTCTAGAGAGGTGATGACACCTTACTGTAAGTAACCGTATCATATCAAATATGAAATTTGAGGTGTCTAAAAATTAATCAGACGGAAATTCACATTTATGTGTAAAACAATATTTATAATATTTGCTTATTCACGCGCATACTCTAATTCTGAAGGAATTATCAGTCTTGAAACAATTCAAACTACTTTGGAGTACGTTGCTGATTACACTGACAATTCTTTTTTAATTTTATATTTCTTCTAACAAAGAGATATTGTAATTTCATTGCGAGTCTCTAAATGATAATTGGTTCGAAACTGAATTGTTTGTGTTCAATCAGTAACGAAATTGCATGTTTGCTGTCAAGTTTTACACCTCTGTTCTGTATAGATCTAACCAGATTTTGAGCAACTCTTGCATCACTCAACCAATCAAATCTGTACTAAAATGTTGAGAACGTGCAAAGGTATTCTTCAGAATGTGACAATGAACGGAACTATTTTGCACCATTTTCTCAATTATTTCATTGTTTATTCTGCAAGTCGAATCAGCAATGAGTGCTAATGAACGGAAAAAAGAAGTCTTGCAACGTGAAATGCAAAAGTTCGTTACGAGATTAGGCACAGGAGTGCGTGATCGATTCAATGAAGCGTTGCAGAAAGCACTGATCGAGAGTTTATTAGACGGAACGGTGTTTGCAATTGTTGAATCACTCAGTGATTTGCAGCGAATGAATGAGACGTTAATTTTTATTTGCTAAATTACTTATTTTACAAAGAGTTTTTGCTTTTTCTGGGAAGCACTATTCTTCGTGTTATCAGCTGTGTTATCTAAGGGATGTGCTAGAAAAATTACAAATATAATATATACGCGATCTTTTAAAGTGTGTTTAGCATTATCAATACTTTATCAACTTTAGAGCAGTTTCCCTTGTGTTCTAAATGTAATTTATGATATTTAGGCGGCTTTATAATGATCGTCAGCAACGTCTGATGGAATTACAATGCGTCCCTGATTTAGATGAACAAATGAAGCAAATTGATATCAATATTGTTAGTGAACTTGATAAGGTATTTTTTAAGTTATTATCGCAACTAAATGAAACCATTAAAATTTGGGGGATTTAAAGATATAAATCTTTTTCATATCTGTATTCATTAGCTAACATGAGATAACGGTAACAACTATAAAACATGTTTTCTTTCTCAGCTAATAATGTGTTCATAAAGATAATGTATGGAAATGTTATGATATGAGATAGAAAATGTATTTTTTTAAAAAGTGCATGAGTGATATGATATGATAACTGTAGATAGCAGCCCAACAACAGAACACATTGTGCCGTGCTGGTGTCCCCGCATTCCGAATCACTACCAGCCCTCGTGATATTGAATTGCAAATGGCAATAATTAGTTTTATTTTAACAGTACGTCCACAATTACAGTGAAAATTTTGTCTTTAAATTAGTACACAGTGAACTGAATTTTAGTGTGTAGAATGAAGAATAAGCAGTTTGTATCAGCGTATGCAAATCTTTTCACTGGGAATAGTGAACTGATTATCTGTAGATTCTTTGCACCATTCGTGTTTTCAAGTAAATGTTGTAATTATTGAATTGTATTTTATGCAAGAAAAAATTGTAATCTCAGTATTTTTTGTCTGTTAATATAATTGCATTACAGTATGCTAATTTTTCACAAAATATCTCACTGATAATATTTTGACAAGTCCGTTTTAGAGACGCTTTTTTCGTAAAATCAGTAGTACTAAAACCTTTGCGTGTTTGAGGTTTCTCTTTATTTAGTTGGGAGGCTTTTGAGCTGTAGTAGTGGAAGGGCTCATGCGATGCATTTTAAGTTTGCATATTTTTTGCTGAAGTGGTAGGGAGAATATAACTTATTTCAAACATGAGGTAGTAGTTGTACTTGTTAAAGTTAGTAGTAGTTCTCGTTGCATTTCATATGCTGCGTCTGCTTGATTTTACAACCGAGGTCGGTTTCGAGTATTTTTGTTCGTCTTTAGGTTTTAGACGACACTTCTGCTTCTTAAATTTCGTTGCTCAGGAATTAGAGTACATAACCGTTTCATTATTATTTTCTTCACATGTATACATTTTCAAAATAGTATTTTCAGGGATATTATGGGTTTGATTGATAAGCCAATTATAATCGACGGTAAAGATCATCTGCTTGGGAGATTAGCTTCTGTTATAGCTAAGCAGTTACTTCTTGGTCAGAAGATTGTTGTTGTGAGATGTGAAGATATTGCAATTTCTGGAAATTTTCATCGGTCGAAACTGAAGTTCATGAGTTTTCTACGTAAACGATGCAACGTGAAACCAGCGCGTGGTCCTTATCATTTCCGAGCACCGAGTCGAATCTTTTGGCGTACTGTCCGTGGCATGTTACCTCATAAAACTCATCGTGGAAAAGCAGCATTGCTACGTTTAAAAGCCTTTGATGGTATCCCTCAACCTTATGACAAAGTTAAAAGACAAGTCCATCCAGCTGCTCTTCGACAATTAGCATTGAAACCACGAAGAAAATATTGTACAGGTAATTTTTGCTAACAGCATTTAGAATGTTTTTCAGCTGTGTCAGCCAAGTGATAGTAATGAAAGTAGTTTTTAATAGTTCCTTAAATTCTATGTTTATCATATATATTGTCCTTGTACAATGCATAATTTTTCGAAAAATTTTGGCAATTTTTATAACACAAACTTCACGTTGCTGTCGACTAAACTCATTTAAGGGCATTAGAGAATGAATGAAGTTCTGTCTTTTCGGCAGATCTGTTTTCCAAGATATGTAGAAAGTGCAGCAAGTGAGTTGATTCTGAGGTGTCAAGTGAGTTTTTGTGCTTGTCACAATAGGAGTTGGCATTAATATGTAATTTGTGAAAGTTGAAATTATTAATGACAATTTTCAGTTGGACGTCTAGCTCATGAGGTAGGATGGCAGTATCGTGATGTAGTTGAAAAACTGGAAGCCAAAAGGAAGGCTAGAAGTGCAGCGTTTTATGTTATTAAGAAGAATAAAACAAAACTTTTTTCCGAGGCATTGAAATCAGACATTGTTAAGAATTCACCTTATCAAAAGTTGATAGAATCTTATGGTTATCAGTAAATTGTTGGTCACTGAATAAAGTCTCTGTTTGTATGCTAAGGATTATGTCGTTTGCTTTCAGTAAATTTTGAATGTTTTTCTTATGCAATACTTGTTACTAAAGAAGCGAAGTCAGGAAATATAAGGATTTTTGCACTGTCGAATTGGCCAGACGGATTTGTGGTTTCTCAGTTCTTTAAGGATTTCAGGAGTTTATTATGCATACGGAGGTCTGTAGTTTGTTAGATGGTAAAGAGTATGATGTGGTTGGGATTGAGTGTGATGGTCATTGTTCACCTGATTTCCTTCATATGGGTATTTTGGCATATGCAGTAAGTAAAGGCATGAAAGTGGTTTTTATTTCTGCACGACATAATTTGCAGGCGTTAAGGTATCTTTTAGTTTTAAGGTCTATTATTCTGTTTTAATTTTAATTTTCAACCTTGATTGAGTGTTGCACTAGCTATTTATTTGTCACATGTTTGGGAAAGCTCAACTTCACATTTACAAGGAAAAGTTGAAATAAATTAGGGTTACTTAGTATGACCTAATATCAGTTCAGTTTTTCACTGGCAACACCCGCTATATTTATGTTTGTCCTTTGTGATATCATTTAGTAAAAGACCTTAAATATTTGATGAGACGTAATACTCTGTTCATGTACAAGTACATTAGTTTTGTTCAATGAGCAGTTTTTAATCATTCATTAAAAATCTGATTTTGCAGAAGACTTTCTTTTAAGGATAATGGCTAGTAAATTGATGATTCGATTACCTCAAGATCTAAAATTTCTGTCATTAAGCGACTTCCTTCCTAATAACTTCATAAGAGAAGATGAAAGTACGTTCTTTACCAGCATATTGGAGGTAAACATGACGATCTCAACATATATAATATCACTTTCTTGGGCTTCATTGATGGCATAATTTACTCACTATATAGTATAATTTTGTTTTTGTAGGAAGTCGTCAAGAATATAGAGGGAAGCGATAAAGGAGTTTTGATTATATGCGACGATTTTACAGTCTTTTACGATTTATCGAATGCCCCTTTTAATGTTGTTTCATTTGTCCGGTCATTACAACAATGTATCGAAAGTGTAGAAATTAAGATAGTAATTTTCTAAATTCTCATCTTTTGGGTAATTATTGTTTATAATTTCTCTATTCATAAAATTCTTTGCAGGTACTAACCTTCCATTCAAAAGATGAAATTACAAATATTCTTCTTCATGAAAGCGACATCATCATGAAAATAAAACGGATCGGCAATGGCTTTGCCAAAGATGTCACGGGGCAGGTATGAGGATATATTCATCATTGTATACTTTAGACATTTTATGCACTCATCAGCACTTATGAGTAGCTCTTTACAAAATTTCTTTGCATAATTTGTTTCTTAGTCTTTTTCTGAATTTTTGTAATCCTTGTTTAAACCTTTTAAACTTGCGTTTATACAGATTTTACCCTAGATTCGTTCAAAAATTTTCAGTTGTGTATAGTAGAACGCAATGGTGAAGTACCCTATACAGAAACTACTTTCAATTATCATCTGACTGATCGATCCTCAAAGCTTTTTCTTCCTGGAATGTCACGACCAGAATTATGAAACGTTTTTCATGTACATATAAGATTTTGTTTATTAGATACAACAGAACGTGCATTCTTCAAATTAGACAGTATTTAGAGCTCTTTTTTAACTTTTTCTAAAAAATTACCATTTAGAGTGAAAATAAGATGTTTCGTCATCAGTCACATTTAGTTTTTCTGATGTGTAACATTTGAAAGAAATGTCTAATAACAAAAAAGAGTGTAATTAGTTTTAGTGTGAAACATCAGCTATCAAATGATTGTTATAGTTTTTTACTCTTAATGTCAGGATTAGCACGAACTGTACAAGTACTCAGAACTCAATGTACTTTGATTTATACTGTTTATCTTGACAAAAAATGCACAAAGACTGAAACACTTGAGAGTATCAGTATGGACGAATATAAATTAATAAATAAGTGTCAGATGATACAGCTTGGTTTATGGAAATGTTTGTGTTGTACTGCGATTTACACCTCGTAAAAAATAGATAATTTATAATTTTCAGTTTAAATGATGAATGACGAAATTAAAGTAAGTGTACCGATAGAATGACTAAAGTAATATGAGTCGCCCCATACATTGAGAGTGTGATTCCATGAATATCCTGTCTCTGCTGTGCTGTTGTCGAATGCCATTCCAAGATATACTAGATGAATTATGGCAACAATTCGGAATATCATATTCACAGCTAGGGTAGGCATGGAATTCTGAAAATGGAAGCTTCATTATAAAGCTCCTCTATACTAATTATATTTTTGTTGTCTGGACTAGTTATATTTCTTTGCTATGTTATTTTTGGTTCTTTCAAAAAAAACTGCTTTGAAAACATTATGAACCTCTTTCCATGCGTGACTGCATTCTTCATGACACTTCTTAGCACGAACGCATGAATTTGTACGACGGCTCAATCTACTTCGTAATTCTATAAAGTTGCACAAATTATGTTCATATAGAATTAGACAAATATCTGAGGAAGATAAACAGACTTGTTTCGGCGTATGTATAGAATCCCAACGAAAGCAGCACCGCAGACAACTGGAAGTTGATTCCCTACAAGCCATAAAATTGTAGAATCGCATAAATTTATTTCAAAGGAAAATCAGCATGCAATAAAAGTCAGTAAAATTAAAAACTGTGAGTTTTACCTCAGTAAAATTTCGCATCTCTAAATTACTTGAAACTCACATGAAGGAGGGAACTCACAACATAGGTAGCGAAAATGGCAATAGCAGAGCCATACTTTCTCATTTCACCGAAAACGTCTGCAATATTGTGAATAAATTCATTCGACAGCGAAATTAAGTTATGACCATATACAAGGGAGATGTAACTAACATTGATGCAAAAACTGATGCATGGGGATATTCCACGAAACAACAACATCAACAAGCGAACGAGGCAGTTCAATACGGGTCCAATCGACGATACTGCCCGAATCAACACCTGATAATAGCGATATCCCCGCAGAAAGCCAACAAACAAAATAATGACTGAATCGAAATGACTGCGCAACAAAATATGCTCCTACGAAATACCATTCAGTAAAGTTATCAGCAACGCAAGAAGAATAAATTACAGCCAGCAATGAGAAAAGAATGTAGCTGAGGGCACGAAAACAGTTCATAATTTCTACCTGAAGCTATTTTACACTTGTTTATCAATAAATTGATTTCCTTCGATCATTAGATCCAAAAAAAATAGCGAGAAAAGACAGATTACTGATGCTCAAAAACAGCGCAGAAAATTTACTTCCACATTCTTCATCTCCAGCGAGTCGTGATATTGCTTATAAGTAATCCACGGACCAAATAATATAGTTGAACCATCTAATACATAAGAAAGTAACTGCAGTAAAGATATGTCTTTATATAATTCATTAGCAAGATCAAAAGATACTGAAGTTGTTTTCATTAACATAACCATCAGAATGCCTCGAATTGACATAAATTTTTCAGCAGTCATTAAACACTGCCTGCAAGTACATATGATTTTGAATTATCAAAAAGTAAATAAACAAATGGGAATATTGGCAAGAATTTGTTAAACTTACTTTCAGCACATAGGGAATATTTATGACCGAATAATAAACATGAAACTCACCAAATTAAAAGCATGCCAATGGAGTATATCAAGATCTTGAATTTGATGTTTTTTTTGAATAAAAACTTGTAATACGGCACTACAATAACCAGTGCAGTGAACGAAAAAACTGACAATGCAAAAGTGTTCTGAGTCCACATCATAAATAGTCCAGAAGCTATCACAGTTAAATGTAACGTGTCCTCACTAATTATTCCTAAACGAATGTTTCAAAAAAATTGGTACTTCTTACCGTACAGAATAAAAACTTCAAGTGTTGTTACCTCCGGCCTGATCACTATGAATGCATAGATGCAATGAGGTTTTTAAACTCAATAATCAGCAAAGAAACAACAACGATAAGGAAGACCAAAATGTGCATAAACTTGAAGGTCGTAGTAGTTAAAGACATCAGTGAACAATTAGAATTAGCAACTGACCTTTGGTGTGGAAGATTATGAGTAGTCGCTTTAACGTAGCGCAAAATAACATTCTGAATAACAATGTATGTAATGAACTGAGCACACCAAACGAGCAATATTGTAATTTCTGTACATTGCTTTCTTCAAAATGCAACAATTCGGCTAATTCTTCACTGTATACCTCTGAGAATTCATTGTCAAACCATCTTTCTTCTTCAGCCATTTCTGGAAAAAAAATACATTACAGTATTACACGCCAAGCAAACAGTCTTCCGTAAAACCATCATTCCACGTCTTTATCAGCACTTTCAATACTTTTTTTATTAGAAAACATTTATGCAAATTAAAAAATGGTACATAAATAGTCAAGTTAATGCTTTCACAAAATGCGAATGAATAATTGTGGATTAAACTGAATTATGATTATACACAGTAATAATCATAAAATAATCATCACAAAATTAATAATAATCATAAATTTATAATATGCAATTAATAATAATCATATAATCATAAAATTATCTCATGCAAATTGAGCAAAAAATAACGATAAATAATTGCAAACTTGGAATTCCAAGAAAAGTAAAACCATATTAAAATTATTTATAATTTTATGAAAAGTAATTGAAAAACTTTCATCGGTTTCTAATTCATGCAGAGAATACATCTGAAAAGATAACACAATTTGACAGAAGCAAAACTGTGCAGTATTCAGTGTGAAGAAGGAAGTACAACGCATCTGTAAATTATTTTCCTTCCCAACGCTTCAATAATGATTTTTTGAATGCAAAAATGCTGCAACAGAAGAATTTATTGAAGTCGCAAAGACCTTTTTCATTCTTAGCTAAAGAAAGGACACAATGGAAACTTCTGGCGATTACTTGATGAAAATCGATAATATCGGAGTTCGGAAACAGTACATTGTGTAGCGAGTTTGAGCTAACAAATACACAAGAATTTAAAGAAAATTCAGTTATAAGAATAAAGAATAATCACAACTGCACGTGGAATCATCGAATAGCAAATGAGCTAATCTAGAAAGAATTTTCAACATGTATTCAGGGGATGAGTTGATTCCTTGCTGCATGTGACATTTTGAATTTTAAATTCAAAGAAGTAGGCATTTTAGTTTGTAAGTGCCTCTTGTTTACAGGGACATGAATACAAAGCCATGCACTTGTTTTGTAGCAGAAGCACTAGGCTCAGTTCGCGTGGATCCCCTCATAGGAAGCGATTTATGTCTTTTGATCCAGGTAATATTGCGTTGTATTCTGGTTTCCACATTTTTGATCAATAATTGTTAAAACGTGGAACTGATAGGTTTTTTTTTGTTACTTTTGTAAACAGCCGAGTATCTGTACTGAATTCATACAATAACTTTTTAAAGCAATAAAGTTATTGTATGAATTAAGTTCGTTTTTCTTATGTATTATTTAATTACTGATTTAAAGTTTTCCTTTTACTTTGCAGCAATTTAGTTTAGCAATAAGCAAAACATGCTTTGATGATGCTCGATTGCTTATCGAATCGTTTCGGACTACTCGGTCTCCAGTATCATCAAACGCTGAGGACCATTTTTGCCATTTACTTCTTAGCTCGTGCCTTCAGGTTACCAAATACTGCATGCATTACTTTTCCAGCAAAATAATTATCTTTCTTCATGGTTGTTTTGCATTTTACTTCCTCGAAATAAATTCCGAGATTTTTTTAGATTGTGAAGGCTGAGAGTACATACTACTCCTTGAACTTCATGGTGCCAAAAGCATTTTTCCGACGAGAAAGCACGCTGTCATCAGTTTATTCTCAAATAAAGTTCTTTTTTCTCTCTCTGTATATAAGGCAATTAAGTGATTACTTTTGCTGCTTGCACCTAATTGAATACACGAATAGCAGTGAGTGTTGCAGTTCAGTGTAGTAATTAAATGACTGATTAATTATTAGTTCGGATTAATTTTTTAATGAGTTCAAAGATTCAGTTGCAGAAGACATTAGACGACTCAAGAAGTTTAGAGATTTTATTCTTTGTGTCAAATACTATAAGTATTATACTATATGAATTTCGTATTTGATATCTAAATTTTCTTTTTTTAACTTACTAATAAGGAAGTTTTTCGTTTTCAAAATTCCTTTTGAAGTCAATGTTGTTTTTCTAACTTCAGGGGAGAATTGTGTCAAATGGATAACAAAATTGTAAATAGCGAGCATTCAGTCGCAGAAGACATCAGACGACGTTTAATTGATTTCACCAGTGCAAGAGTTGCACTAATTAATGTCTACAATTCGTTTCAAGTTGAAAGTCATTCTTCTAAAATTTGCTATGTATTTTACTTCCTTAAAAAGTGTCGTATTTGAAAAATTATTCGTAAATTATATTATCACTTTGCATTATGCAGTTTTGTCATTGTAACTTTAATTTAATGTGAAGAAAATGATTCAGATTTTGGTTTTGCATGTGAATTAATAGCACTGTTAGCAGTTCTAATGTCGGTTGAAGACTTGGTGATGCCCTTATCCAGTCATGAATCTTTTTCATCTTTATTCACTTCACTTTCAAATGAAGTAACCGTGATTAAATTGCTGTTGGAAACACAGTTAGCTCTTATACAGTGTAATGTAAGTATTCGTTTTTTTTCCTATATAAATCTGAGAAGTTCATTTTAAAGTTCATCATAATTTGTGCCTGAAAAGGTATACTATTATCGCAAGTCTCTGGTTTATGCATGATTTTCAGTTTCTGCAATCACTGATCAAACTAAAAAGTGCTCATGCAAGAATTTCTTTCTGGTTCAAATCCATTGGTTACAAACGAACAGAAATGAAGAGAGCAACCTCATTTTTTCCTTTCGGTAGTAATTCTTGCACAGTTGTATTTTTGCCAGTTTTTAATATTTGCTTTCAGTTTTACAAATATTAATTAAATATGAGATTTCCAGGATCGCAAACTCAGCATTGTACACTGAAACTATGTGATTGGATTAAGGAATTTTACATGCTACTATTAGCGAAGTTTTCTCTCTACTTTCATGACTCTTTGCAAATATATTGTTCGACTGTTGATTTCGAGCACACTATTAATGCTGTCAAATCGCCAAATTTTAATGCAGGATTTTCCACTTTTCAACGAAGAATGGAACCGTTAATGATTCTTCTAATTGCTGATCGCACTAATGCGCCAGATTTGCCGCATCGTTAGTTGAATATTTACAAATTTGGGTTATTTCTATTGACTGATGCAGATTATAATTATGAAGGAGATTTAATCGTAAATTTATGTGATATTTCAAAACTCTTTTATACATCTATATTGTAAGCTAACATGTTCCCTATTAACTAGCTATACTTTATTGGGCTGAAAATCTAAATAGTCTTATTTTACACTTGAGATTTGTTTAAGGTAAAATTTGAGCCATATTATTAAGCTGTATTTTTAGAGATTGGTTATCATTCTTCAGCTGAATCAAGTGACGTAGAAGGTGAATTACGAAAAAATTTTTTAACACTCTTAAGAATTGGGGGAAGTGCAAATGATGTATTCAAGTTACTTCCGTCCATTTCTAATCTTGTATCTGAAGCAGCTGCTAGGAAATGTGGAGATCGTATTGTATACTGTTACGATCAGCTGATATCTAAGGTACTGATTCATATTAAGGTCTTAATGATTAATCAATTCAAAACAAAAGTAGTCCATAATTCATTCAAGTGATCAATTAGAAAAACTAACTTGAAAACAGCAAGTAAATTTTTCATTTTCGCTATTCATTCAGAACGTAACTGAGAAAGTTTTATGTAGTAGAGTCTGAAATGTGTACTCTTATGTAATTTATTTTCATTAATAAAGTAAACTGATGTCGTTGTATTCTGGTATTAATTGATTTGCAATGCATAAATATTACAGAAGTTCCCTTTAATTGGTCTTATTCAGTTGAATAATATTCTTCTAAAAACTGCTAATGTATGACATTTTTCTTCTAGACTTTTTTCGTTTCACTGGTGGAATATCATATATATATGACGGTAATTTTCAATAAACGGGTTAGCGAGCGTGATAATATGGTGGTGAATTTCATACAGAGAAGTTGTAACCAACTTCGGTGTGCAAAAATTTGCCAGAGCCTGCGAAAGTTCTGTAAGTAATGCTGTTTCATGTGGGACTCATCGAAAAATCTTTAGTATTTATGTGTTTCTGGCTAGCACATAAATTATGTGACTTATCAATAAGTGAAAAGTAGAATATGACTTGCTAGCTGATGTAAAGTGTGATGCATTAGTCATTTTAATGTTCTGCGAAAGTGTCGCGAGCACATTTTGCAAACGAACTATAAATGAATGTTACTACGTACGTAGGAGTATGTAATAGCAGTTTTGAGAGTCTGTTAGTCATCCAAATAATCACAGAATTTCTAGTTTGAATGAAATGAATTGGTAATTGTCCCCGAACTTGTATAACACTTGTTAATATTTTCATAATGCTGAATAAAAAAGGAATGTGCAGTGCTGAACTGTAAAAGATATCAGTGTTGACATATTTTTGACGTTCTCCATCATTGCATATGCATACTCCTCACTGTATCAAAGCAAGTATGCAAGTTTATTGAACCATAAACGTGCAAAAATTTTTTCAATCACTTCAGTTATTAAAACGTGCAACTCAAATTTTTACAGTTGTCATATTTGCAGCTGTGCAATTTCCACCTTGACTATTAATGCAGTTTATGGTATTCTGTGTGTGAATGATCTAGTTCATCGATCTAATCTTGTCGGAGAAACACAATGTATTTACGTCCTCACTTTCGCTTTGAATTTTTTTTACAACTCATTTTCAAAATGATTATTACTGTTATTTCTAATATTACTTGGTTAGATCTCGACGAAATAAGATTGCGCTTATTTAGTGCAGTATTACAAATGCAATGATGGAATGCAACGTTTGCTAGTTCTTACATGTGTATCATTGGTGCTGAAGCTATCAATCAGTAACACTGAGCAAAATTTCTTTTTTAAAAATAACGGGAAAGCATCTCTAGAAGTATTAATGTGTTCACGGAAATTGCTCCTAATTCTCATTACATTCCTTCAAACCAGAAGTTTCATAAAATGTCACGCAGTAAATTTGTGAGCATATCTTGCACACTACCAACTTTTAACTTGCAGTTGTTAATTATCTTCACAAAATATGCTCAGAGGAGACCACGTATTTGTTACTCTGAATTCTTATTATTAGAGATTACTTTTAGTGAGTGTTGAAATAATGACGTTGGTGCTCTGAAAAACAGTAACATTCTACTTACTTCGGTGTTATCAAACATAAATAATCGTTTCTCACAATTTTCATAGTAATTTTATAACAAAAATAACACCTACATATATACTATGCAATAGAAAATTCTAGAACAGATGAAAATGCTAACTTTGTGACTAACTGACCAACTGCTTAGAAAAAAGTGGCGATGGTAACTAGCCAAGAGTGAAGGATATACTTGACACAATTACATTAACTTAAGCTTACAAGTATTATTTAATTTAATTAAATGGATGAGAAGAAACTAAGACTCAGTGAGAACAGAGACACTACTAAATGCAATGGTAAGTGGTAGATAAGCAGAGAGATAAACGAAAGGACAGAGTGCAAGACTTCATTAGTATTAAAAGTGTAAGTGACAGTACGGTTAGTACTCTCACTCTCATAGAGGCATGCATTACAGTAAGGGGAAGATATTTTAGACGTGCAAACGTGAGTGTGAGGGTGATGGACGGGAGAAGTTTACTCTGCGAGAGCGCAAACAAAGTGGTAATAAATAAATGCACAGGGACGGATGTCATTAACAAACCGAAAATAGCCAGTCCGACGAATGTGTTGTGTTTATTGCAACTTTGGATGCGTCGAAACAGATTGAGAGGTGTGACCGTTACTAAGCATTCACATTAAGTGTAGTCTTCAATTAGGTCTACATTTTTGCCTACAATAGTGGCACGCGAGTTTACGCATTTAAGCAAGCGGAACTCCGACTTTTCCTCACGTTCCACTCACGTGTGCTAATCGTGAAATATAACGTACACATGAGAAAACTGTTGTTAGCATGCAAATGGATCATCGTGCATTATCTGCACACATGTCTCGTCAGCAGACGTATGAATAATACAGTACAGCACATGGATGTGAGTGTGTTATTGTCTACCATCATATCTGATCCGATAGTTACTACTGATAATCGTCTTACTCTTAGGAGACGAAAAGAAGTTAGAAGGTCAAACACATGTTCGCGCATTCATTTAGATGAGTCAAGCAGCGAGACTATTGGTTCATCATCAGATGGATCATGACAGGAAGCAAGGGTAGCTTAATGGAACTCGTATAATCAGGATGAACCTAACACAAACATCATTCAACTTCTGACCATTGACCTTATGTGGCATTCCCCCTATAATACTTAACTGCACAAAAGAAGGAGAAGGGAAATATGAGTCACATCATTTTGCTTTCCTAAGCTCCTGTATTCCTTTCTTTTCCCCCAAGTCCTTCATACATTCTCTGCCTTGCCTCTAGTAGCAGTCATAGTCTGTCCTTCCTTTTTGTGACACATAGTCAGACATGCACACATACACACACGCACACTCTCGTAGACGGATGGATAGCCATCGCTGTCTTCAGATCGATTGATCGATCGATTGTTCGATCTATCGACTAGTAGGATTTATCGGTTTGGGAGTTTGTGTTCAATATGGAATTAGTTATTGGATGTTGTTTGCAGGGCAAATTTAGTTGCTACAATAAAACTAAAATTGAGCGATCTACTTTTCTGCTATTAGTTCAATTGCTAGTAATTGTGTGCAGAGCTGTGCTGACAAGCACTTTGCTAAGCAAATATGTTTAAAGTGAAGGAAAGAAGGAAGGAAGGAAGACCTCTTCAATTACTTTGCATTTAATCGAGCAGATAGGCCGGGCTGGAACTGACCAGGCCTAGCTCAAGCTTGGTCTAAGCCTAAAGTTTAATTTAGACTTCGTTAAATTTTCTTCTGCTTAACCTAAGACTACTTCACTTCACCTCTTTCTCTTTCTGCTGGTTGTTTGCTCAAAAAATTGCATTGCTTTCTACAGAGGCTTGTGTGAATTACGTCTACATTACGTCAAACTTGTTCATAATTCAAAATATCGTCTTCATGTTTCTGTGCATTCTCCTGCTGCATTATTTCTTTTCAGAATGTCCAACTGTTAAAAGCTTTTTCAATCATTCGCCTTCATGTTTTTATTCTTGTGCTCATTTTCATACTTTTATCTAAACATGCTGACTTTTTATGATAAGCATAAGGAAAGCAAATGAATATAACATACTCTCAAAGTTTTTTATTTGCCCTTTTTCCCGAAAAAAATAATACTATAATAACATTGTAATTGGCGTAATCATTGCTCTAATAGTAATTATTATTATTTTGTCATTAATCCTTTTATTGTTGTTTTAATTATCTCCCAACAAGTTATACCTAACAAACTTTGCTTATTTTTGTCTCTTGTAAATCATTGATAATTTTCATATTGTGGTATAATTGTCTTTTGTACTTAAATGCGTAAATAATAATTAGGTTTCTGTGCTGAGAAAAATTTCAACCTTTTAGTTTATTTCCATTTGAAGTAAAGCTCCTATGAGAATTGAATTTCTTCATTTACCAACTGCATAATCATTTTTACATCTTGACTTGACGTACGTCAAAGTTTTTCATTCATTTCATTAATAATAATTGAAAAATAAAAGGTGACTGTTAGAAGATCTCTGTCTTTCCATCTTACAGCGACTATATTTTATTAGTACTATTATTATCATTGTTATCACTTCCTTTGGTACGAGGGCTTTGAAATCAAAAGTTCAACATTGATAGGGAGAAAGTTCCCAATGGAGTGGTGCTAAGGACCATCAATCTATTTTCAGTTGTTACCTTAATTTGAAATGAAATCTTCAGATTTGATCATTTCTTTCTGTTTGAGAAGGCAAGTAGTCAAAGGGGACTGCGTAACACACTGCAGGTTCATTGAGAATGGTAAGAGTAAAAGGCTAGTGTAAATTTCTATTATTTCAGCGTAAGGCAAGTAAGCAGTTTTGCTTTTTCTAGTGTCTTCGTCGAACTCGTTTTTTGTCCTAATTCAGCCTCAATCTCATATTCACAAGTAGCTCACATAATTGCCTATTTATGTGGCATATTGAAACTTGCAGTCTATTTTCACGTATCCCAAGCCTTCATCGTTTACCTCACTAAATCTGTCTTTCCATTAATATTGAATTGCTGCTAGTATCTGGTTCAATATTTATTCAGCACCACTTTCCTTCTCATTAAAACAAGTATTTGTAATCTTCATGTCATTTATTTTTTGCAATTTGTTGCATTGCACATACAATTTTTACTTCTCACTACATCCATCCGTAAACAAATTAGAGTTAATTGCCTAAATTTATCTACGAAGTAATTCAGCTGAAGTTTGCGTAGAGTGATATGAACATACTTGACTTCATGTGTAATTCTTCATTTCTAATCTTAGCATTTCGACTTTGCTTTTTAGAAAGCTGAGAAGATTAGTTTGTCTGTTGTTTAGAATTGAATTCTTCTGTCGTTTTCGCCTTTTTCTGCTCACTTTTAATTGCCAGTTTTTATTTTGTATCAGTTACATAATGATGAATTTTTATACTCGAGTCATAACTCTGAAGGTCTTGAGGTATTTAGTTATCTGTTGAAAAGGGAGTGTTCTAAAGCAGATTTACTTTGAGTTTGTCTTAATATTACTGTTCATCATTAATTTTAGTTTTTGATGGTAGCACATAGAAGCCAAAACTTGAGCTTGTGTTTCCATACTATTCCACTTACTAAATATACTTTGTTTGCTTTTGTTTAAAGATTCAGTTCTACTGTCTCTGAGAGATAAATAAATCAGTATTTTTGTGTAATTAGAAAAAATAATAAAAAATTACTCGGACGAAAGCTGAGTATAAATGGTTTTTAAGTTCTTACATCATTTGAGTCTAAAGCAAGTAAGTATTCTGTGTTGGATGTTATCGGCCTTGACATAGATTAATAGTTTATTGCGTAAAAAATTATTCAGATCACTCTAGTTGACAAGTTTTCAGAGTCGATCGATGTTTGTTGATAAAAGACAGCAAATAATATAGGACTGATAAGTATTATTGCTCACTGAGATTTATTTTTGCTAAATGTTTTACTTTTGATTTTGATAAAACTTACTTGTAAGCACCACAAATTTTTGCTAATATTTGCGCTGAAATAATGAAATTGCAATTATTGCCTCTGCTGACGATAGAGTTCATTCACTCATTTTGTTGGAGTAAATGTTTAGAAAATTGGAATATTTGTGTTGAAAATGATTGCAACTATTGGAGGTCATTTGAGATTTCGTGTAGTGAATGAGGCAAACAAAATTTAGTGAATTTTATCAATTCCAGTCAATTTACTTTTTTGCTTAAACTTTTCTTAATTGGTTTTTCTAACAAAATATAACTTTCTATTAGAGGGAACAATGTCGAGTTTTGAATACATCAATTGCACACCAAAAACATTTCGTTAATCCTTAAATATTCAAATCTGTATTGTAAGGAAAATTTTTCCTATTTGAGAAATTTTTATCCATGTCGGAATTATGATTTTGCTGTTCCTGTCTGACTTCTAATAATCCGATTTTGCTCGACTTTTCGTTTTTATTGCAAAGCAAATGTTTTAAGAAATTAGTTTTCTCTCATTTTTCATGCACAGATTTTATCTGTGAAGAAGAATAAATTGAAATATATCACATATTTTCGCTGTTTTATAATTTTAAAAATATGGAATATTTGTGATAAACAGCAACAATTAATACTTTATTTTAGCTTATCTATATATTTTGTCCATTCAAAGAGAGGGAAGCAAACTTGACTTTTAGTCTTGTAAGTGAGTATGGCAACATTTTCACTTGTAGTAAAATAGCTGAAGCGTTGAATTCGCGATGTTAGTTGCTATTTATTTAAGATTGTTCAAATCTTAAACTGGTTAATGTAACTGAATGCTGTAGATGATTTTTAAATCAAGCGTGTTAGTATAAATTTTGCATTTTTATTTTTCTAAATGACATTGGTAGTACTTTGTTCATTTTGCTACCAATGTCAATTGTTTGCTTATTGGTTTCTCAGAGATTGATTTTACGGTGTATTATCAGTTTTTATTACTTGTTTATCGAATCAAAGCTATTCTATTCATAACTGATTGCTGTGTTCAATTAGCAATGATAGTAAGTTTTCATTTATTAATTTTTTTAGATGAATAAATTACTACGTACAGTATTTGTGGTATTTTATGCAGCTGTCAGCAATCTTTCACTATTGTCGATAATAATGATAATAATAACATGGCAGTGATAACTAACGGTAATAGTGACGATAACAATAATTTATTTGACGACACAGTTAGTTGTCATCAGTTTAACATTCATATCAACCCAAAGTCTTGATGTTGTTGTGTGAGTCGGCGCTGATCTATTTGAGCTATTGAAATAATCATCTTAAGTAGTCATAACTGATCAAGCATGCCATAAATAGTATCTTCAGATCTGTTTTGGGCAGCCATAGCACGTGATAAATTGACAACGTAAAGAGATATTTTTATTTTACATAGAAGAGTGGTTGGGGCATCCTTTTATCTTTTCTTCTTATCTAAAAATGCTCGGTGGAGAAAGTGATTCTTCGCGTGACTCCATTCAGATGTTTCCGCACACTTCACGTGCCTCTTATTCATTCAGCCATACGTTTTTCCAAAACACTCTGGAAAGCTTTTTCAACTCTTCTTAATAATTTTTATATTTCTATCAATTTTCGATAGTCAGCTTTTACTAATTCTGCTCTTCTTGTAAGTGTGTTTTTCCTTCGAAATTTCAAGATAAATGATTTATTCTTTTACAAAAACAGTGTGTCAAGTTTTAGCTGGTAAAAATTTGAAATTTTCATCTTAAGGATATGTTTTCCAGTACATAGAGGGTTATTTCGCTTTCCAAAAGGATATATCTGTGTGACATTTGCTTGCTTATCTCAGATTTTCTCTAATTATCATTGTTACGTTCATTTTGATTACTATTATTATGCTTGGTATTATTTGATGTGTTTAAGTGCACATCTAAAAGAACCAAGTTTGTAACAATTTTTGTTCAATTTTGTCGGCAATGAAAAATAGTGTCTTCAAATTGTCGAAAAAACATTGATGTTTATGATGTTTCCTTTCAATATTTTGTACTGTAATAACGGCAACAGTACATCGGTTATAGTCTTATTCACTGCACTACAATAATTTTTGTCATAATTGCTAATTGCAGCATGCAAAATGCCCGTAATGATAATGGTACTGATTGGAAGTATTATGATTATTGGTTGCAGTTGATAAGATTATTGATTACAATTGATAAGATTGTGAGTATAATTGAACGCTGTAGTTGAGAACATCATTTTGATTAATTTTACATGTATAATCCATCAATAAAAAAGCAGTTCCTAAAATTTTATCAAGTATTAGTTTTGAATTTTCGCTTTTTATATCAAATGAGTTCAGCATGTATACAAAGTTCACCTCCTCATTTTATTTTTGTTTGAAATCATATGATTTGGTTTCCTTGAAATTTAATTCTTGGATCAGGATTTTTCCGCATAATGTTAATTATTCATGCTATTATCGTTTACTCCTTTTCACTGAATTCATACTCTGACTCAAATTCATATGTTGGATTTTTTAATCGATTATTTGCTTTTTATTTTTGCTTATTTTGATAATTTTGGTTATATATATATATTACATTACTACTAATAGCAAGTTTGATTTTGCATAACAGAAAAGCTAACTGTTTCTTCTTGTAAGTGATTATCAAGTCTCAGCGATTAATGTTGATAATAAAATTCAGTGTAAGAAGTCTCATTTTAACGCAAGCATTTTTGTAGTTGAGATATTAAGTAGATCATACGATATGCGTTTATTTTCAGAAGCGTGACCTCTCTAATTTCAAGAAGGAAAATATATTAGAACAGGTTAGAGGTCAGGAGCAGCATTAAAAAGTAACTGCTTCCAGAATACGAATTTTATTGGTTAAAAGCTGTGCTATTTCCAACATTATTATGCCATTTTCTTGCTTGCCATTTTTTGCCTGCAATCGCCAGGTGGATTTGTTGGATCGCAGGCAGTGCAATTTGCAATCAGTGCCTCATGACATTGATCGCAATGCCCGGACTTTAGAAGAGATGTATTTGGATTGTAATCATATCAAAGATCTCGAGAAGGTTATTATTATTTTCCAGAATAAAGTTAGTCATGATATCATTACTATTAATTATAACATTCATAATCGTTTGCATTAATATTTATGGAATGCAAACTATTTTTTGACTTTAATCTGTAGTTTTTGTAAGGAACAGGACTAATCATGATAATAAGTCAGCATTTTATTATCGTTTTTATTTACTTACTTGTTATGTGTCATTATTCCGCTGTAGTGAGATTAAATTAAAATATATGCTAGTCTTATTGCTATTATCATTGTTCCATTAATTCACTGAGATTGACAGTTTAATTTGCAATGTTCACTCTAATGTGATTGTGAGATATAAATGATGATTTGGAGAGTACAGATAAATGTAAGAGATAATTTGCAAAGATAAGATAACTTTGTGATGAGAAGAAAAAGTGGTAATTGATAATGACACCTTGCAAATGTTAAGGTTCTGTTGGTTATAGTTTTGATTAATCTAGTGAGAAAATGACTGATTTGAAAAGATTGAATGAAGTCACAAAATATTTCGTACCTCAGATTTTCATCCTTGTTATTCAATATCATGTTAGCACAGTCGGTTTTATTTTTGCTATTCTCCAAATGAAGCAAAACTTTGACATTTGAATTGGTAATGGGTGCTTCAATCATTATTCAGAATATGTTGCCTCATGCCTGAGCATGTAATAATCCAAGGCAAGCTAGTTTTTTATACTTATTATTATCGCAGACATGAGGTCAAGGCTACATTAGTCATCTTTGTTTTTCATATTCCTCCCGAAGTCTCTTCTATACACATTTCATATGTGTGAAAATATGTCCTTAAGAATGTCAAGGTCAAAGAGAACAAAAGTTATTTGCTTGGTAATGGGCTGTGGAATTAGTTTATATTTTAGGAAAATATGCATAAATCAATGAAGCATTGGTAATAGCATAGTACCGAAGTCATATAAAATGTATTAATATGTGAGTAATATTAAATGCTGCAAATACCATAAGCGCCATTATCATATCTGTCAGTCATTTCAATTAATTCTAAAAATAATTTTGTCAGCGTAGTCATTTATTCAGTCTTCATGTGATATTTCTTTAAATAAAAAAATAATGAGAATTTAATATATATGGAAAGTAATATTAAACAGGAATATTATCGAACTCCACTAAAAAACTGCAGTATATAAAATTTGTTTATTGAAAGATTGCTGACCAATAATTTGTGAAAAATTTTGCAGCCATTATTTCGATGTCGAAAACTGAAAATTTTGAGTCTGAGTGAAAATGAAATAATACGCTTGCCTTCCGATATTGCTCATCTAACATGCTTGGAGGAACTCAGTCTTAAAGGAAATGGTAGGTGCTGTTAATCTTCACCTTATATTCATCAAGTTAATCGTTTTTCTGAGCTGACAATTTTCTGTGAAGAAGCAAAGTTTTCACGAATCAATATTTAAACATTTTGCAGATATTTCTGACCTTCCAGAAGAAATAAAAAACTGTACTCAATTGAAAATCCTTGATCTCAGCTCAAATCCAATCACTAGGTAAAACAATTTTCGTTTGCGGATATTACATTTACTGGTCTTTCAGAAGATTTTGCTTGAATATGAAGTTAACATGTCATTAATTTTTAGAAGTACAATATTTTCCCTAAAATATTCTTTTTCTTCAAGAATTCTTACAAATATTTTGGATAAGCATATTAAATTAAAATGAATTTTCATAGCGTATGCTATGAAGTTTTTACCAATAGTTTATTTATAATTTGTTTAGGCTTCCCTCAACGATAACTCAATTAACATCGATGACAAGTCTCGGTTTAAATGATATTTCGCTCACACAGATGCCACATGATATTGGCCAGTTGCAGAATTTGCGGTCTTTGGAAGTTCGGGAAAATTTGCTGCGAACATTACCATCGTCAATAAGCCAATTAAATCAGCTGCAGAGACTTGATCTTGGTCATAATGAACTTGATGATTTAGTTAGTTTTTATTCATTTTTACTGCCTTAAAAATGATTTGGGAGGATTAAATTTTGAATTGATATCATTTACATAACAGCACTATTGTTGACTTTTAAACTAGCACAGATACAGCATGAAATTGATCAGTTTTTTGTAATTTATAACCCCAAATATTATCAGTTTGGGAAGATATAAATTTATATTTTTACAAGCATTTATTGCAGCCAAAAGAGATAGGCATGTTGGAAAATCTAGAAGAATTATATGTTGATCAAAACGATCTTGAAACACTTCCGGACTCCATTGTTCAGTGCCGTTCATTAGAACAGCTCGATGTTTCAGAAAATAAATTGATGGTTCTACCAGATGAAATTGGTGATTTAGAGAAACTTGGTGACCTTACAGTTGCTCATAACTGTCTTCAGGTATTGCCTAGTTCACTTGGTGAGTTAACTATTCATTTTTTGAAAACTTTTTCAACTCATTTATTATTCAATGCGTTATATCGATTTTCGTTATGGTGAAAAATATGATCATTATTGGAACTATCTTTATGTACAAATGATTTATACCATTCTTTTTAATCGTTTTCTTTCTTAATAAGCATTCAAGTTTACTACACATTGATTAGTAATAATTATAGGACGCTTGAAAAAGCTCATAATATTGAAAGCGGATCGCAATGCAATCACCCAGTTAACACCTGCCATTGGTAGTTGTCATGCATTGACAGAAATTTATTTAACAGAAAATTTTCTCACGGTAAGTATCAAATTTGAGCCAGTTCAAAATTCTTAAAATTCTAATTGATAGAATCTTATATGTTAGAGTTTTAAGAAGTTCGTATATTTATTTCATTTAATCGAACTTTTATGGAAACTGCTGGAATATTTATATTTTTTAAAGTATTGACTTAGTAGATATCTTATTCTTATTAGAAAATACTCAAGCTTTTAGCTTGTTTTTAAATCAGAAGCGGCTTTACTAATTTTTTCTGTCACTGAATGGTTGAAATATTTTTTCAGGAAATTCCTAGTTCGCTGGGTAACTTAAAATGTTTACGAATGCTCAATCTCGATAAAAATCAGCTAAAGGAGCTCCCACCAACGGTTCATTTTCAATAGCTATATTCTTGATTTTTTAGATTTGGTATTTGAATATTTAATTTTTTTTAATCATTGAACATTTATTGGTTCATTAAATGGTGTTTGTGACTATCCGCTCAATTTTATTGTTATAGGTAAAAAAGGCTTATGGTTGATGGACGAGGAATAGAAATACTGATTTTCATTTCAGATTGGTGGCTGTACCTCATTATCAGTACTTTCACTTCGTGATAATTTGTTAGAACAGCTTCCTCTTGAAATTGGACGGCTGGAAAACTTGCGAGTTCTTGATGTTTGTAACAATCGTTTAAATTATTTGCCATTTACTATCAACGTCTTGTTCAAATTACGAGCCTTATGGCTATCTGAAAATCAGGTACTTTTGTAAAATCATTTAAAACCGAAATACGATTTTTAAAACCAAGCAAATTATTTTTTCATTTCCGAAGTTGTTATTAAAGCAGTTTTTTGCAGTCTCAAGCGATGTTGAAATTGCAAACCGAGCAAGATCCAAGAACCGGAATCAAAGTCTTAACGTGCTACTTATTGCCGCAAAGTAGCTTGCAACCTGGTATTTTATGTTTTCTGTAGCTTATTTGTCTAAAAACAGTCTGAAAAATAGAGAATAAAGAATTGTAGAAGTTCAGAAGCAGATTTTAATGATATTGCAGTGGAGCAAACTCCTCCAAACCGTTCCTTCATCGGTGGACCAAAAGTTCATTTTGGAAGTGATTTGGAAGAAACTCATGAAGAGGATGAAGGCGAAGTGGGACAATTTTCACGACATGATACTCCACATCCAAAGCCTCATACACACGCACCAAAATTTAAGAAGCAGTCAATTGACGGCCACATAATTCATCATGATGATGAGGCAAGTAAAGAGTATACCATAACTTTGAAACTTCCGATCAAAGTTATAAAGCATAAAGTTCTTCCAATTTTTTAGCATTCTACAAAACCACCGGTATTAACTTTGAATTCGGGACGGAAACGTAGCGGTGATGAAAATTCACGTGCAGTTTCACCATCTGCATCAGCGACTACTGCTGCTACCACTTCTAATACTACCACTAATAATAATACTCATATTGCTTCACTTCGAAGTGCATTGAAGCATCCTCCCGTGTTACCAAATTTGGCTAATTTTGAGCAGAGTGTAAGATTATATTTCTTATTTTCATTTTATCATGTGTAAAGTTCTAAAAGCTTGTAAGAACTTTTAGTAGCTAATTTGATTCTGCTTGAAAGTAAAATAAGCCGTAGCCCATTTTTGAATAACTGTTTAATAATTGCATGTCATAAATGCTGATATTTGAGAAAGTATCTGGGACTTTTTTTTAATAATTTCTTTTTGTAATTCTTTTTTTTTTATTAGGTTTGATTTTCTGTAAAATTGAGCTTTAAAAGTTGAAAGCAAAAAATTTATTGACATAGAAAAAATTTATATGTTCTTAGAATTTTTTTTGTGTTAAAGAGCAGAGGTTTCGTTAGTAAATTTTAAATCTAAGAAATTGAACGGTGAAGTGTTGTGAGGTCAAGAAAAATAATTATCTATTAGTTTTTAACCGAAATTTCTGTTGCAAAGTTCGCATCAAAACTTGTTTCCATTCGAATAACACAGTAAAACTTAGAACTTGGAACTCAAATGTTATTATAAAGGTTATATCTTTTAGAAAACAGTAACTACTTTGAATCTTTGGTAGTTCCGTTATATGATAATGATGATTCTGAAACTGTTTGTGTTATTTTCAGGTAGAGCATATTATGAATCAGCGGCAAAACCTTTCACCTGGTGTTGAAATATTAAATATGAAAATTCATCGAGATAGTAATGGTGGTCTAGGTTTATCAATTGCTGGTGGGCTAGAATCAACGCCTTATAAGGTATGATGTGAATTGAGCATTCAAATTGTTTTTTAAAACTTGTGGTTAACATACATTTACTAGTTTCGTACTTCAGATCAGTACGTATTTCCTGGAATATTTTTGCGGTATTTGTTCAAAAATATATGTAATTATAGGATGATGATAACGGATTATTTGTTTCAAAACTTGCTGAAGGTGGGCCAGCTATGATTGCTGGACTGCGAGTTGGTGATAAATTGCTGCGTGTTAATAAAACAGATGTTGTAAATGTTCGTCATCAGGTATATTTTGTTTCTCTTTTTTGAGAAGTAAACCACTAGCAATTGATCTTTTGCTTTATCGTGAACAGGAAAAAACTTTATTTTTTTAGTCATTATGCTGTTCCAGGTAGCTGTAACATCAATGCAAGATGCTCGAGATATTGTAGAACTCACTATCCTACGTGATTTACGTGGGACACCATCAGTATCGCATAATGCTTCTAGTGGCTACGCAGTACATCATTTTTTTTTTTGCATTATAAGTTTGTCACGAATAAGTCATAAAAATAAGGTTTGGTGTTTTTAGACATCTCCAAATCAAAGTATGGACAACTCTTTTGTTTCCGAAACAATTGAACCATCGTCATCTATGTCCAATGAAGTGATATCAACAACGATTCGACGGGATGTGAATGGTTCACCAGGATTTAGTGTTGCGAGTGGTACAGGCGATGCTATCGTAATATCTTCTATCGCACCTGGCGGTGCTGCTGAAAAAGATGGCAAATTACGTATTGGTGATCGCGTGCTTTCGGTATGTATGGGTTCTTTGTATTTTTTGTCTACAAGTTTTTGGTCTTAATTAAGTTCATACTCACTTTTATATAATCAAATTACATCATCTTTTTGAGTTTTTTAAAGTTTACTTCCATTTGAGGTGAATGGTACAAATGTCAAGAGTGCACGACATGATCAAGCAGTAGCGTTATTAACGGGGCATAGCGGTAGTGATATCTATTTAGTTGTGCAAAGAGATCGCGGAAGACAAAATCTTACTGTTGCTCCATCTTCCTCAAGGTTCCTTTTTAGGAAATACATGACTGATTCTCATAATGTTTCAAGACAGATATGAAATTGTTTTAGTTTGTCATCTACAAAAACACATACTGTGGCTATTGAACGGATTCCTCAACCAAAAAAATATGGCTTTGGTGATTCTTCTTGGGACGGCAAAACTGAAGTTGGTTGTTTATATGGTAGTTTCATATTTTTTCCAAAATCGATAATATAGTACTAAGTTGACTTCAGTGTGTGGCATCAAGTTCATAATTCATGATATACTCTCAAGTTTAAATCTTTTTAGTGTTGTAAGCAACAGTGTTATAGGAAGTAGAACTTATACGTGAAAATAATTCGCTTGGGTTATCCATTGTCGGTGGCAGTGACCATTCATCGCATCCTTTTGGGATCAATTCTCCTGGTGTATTCATTTCAAAAATAACAGCAAACTCACCTGCTAGTCAGTCTCAGAAACTACGTATCGGGGACAGAATTTTGTCTGTAAATAATGTTAACATCCGCACAGCTAAACATCAGGCGGCAGTTGAGGTATAGCTCTCATAAACTTGTTAGACATTTATTGCGGAAAATTTAAGGCTATGGTTTTTATTACTTTACAGTCCTTTACTGCAAAAATTACTTTTTTATATTTGTTTGTTATCAATAGAAAGCAGCAGTAGCTGGATTATGGCTGAAACAAAGCAAAGAAGCAACTTTTTTTGATTACGACAAAAATTCAAAAAGTATTCATGTGTCTTGAAATACAAGAACTTTTTAGTTCATTGTCTGTATTTTTTGTTGCATACTACTCTTCTTATATTAACAATTTAAGCATGCATTAATTAGAATAGGGATTTTGTTTAAGGGAGATATAGATAATTTTGACACATATTTTTTCAGGAATATCACTCATGTTTTGAATTTCAGGCATTAAAACAAAGTGATAGGACAGTGCGCTTGATAGTAATTCATGAACCGCAACCACCAGGTTTGAGAGAAGTGATAATAAAGCGGAATGCTGGTGAAGCCTTAGGTTTAAATATATTTGGTGGTATCGGTAGTCCACCTGCGAATCCTCTTGATAAGACTGATGAAGGCATCTTCATCGAAAGGGTTCATTTTATCATAAATAAATGAATAAATTATATTTATGCACTTATTATTTTATTCATTCTTTTTTTCTTCTATTTACTATATTTTTTTCGATTCAAACGTAGCTAGGAACATCCGTAAGATGAAAATTAGTTTTATGAAAAAGCTTGATTAATTTAGCTATCAAGCTTACTCTATGTCCAGGTTGAACGCAATGGTGCAGCATCGGCCTCTTCGTTAACAGTTGGAACACGTATTTTAGAAGTTAACGATGAATCTTTGCTGGGATGTTCACAAGAAGAAGCGGCACGTATTTTACGCCAGTCTGGAACTAACGTCAGACTATTAGTCTGCGATGCTTTCTGTACTCCATGCACTGCTGTAAGTTCCTGTTTTCCGAGGAATATTATGTTAATAATACGTTTCATCATCGAAGTATTCATTTTTTAAGCTTTATTTTGAGTTTTTTGATCTACTTTTTGAGTTTATCAGATTTTGAAGTGTATTACACATTTTGTTTCATGTTATATCCTTCTGATATTTTAGACTTAGAGCGATTTTTCTATGTTATAGATTAAATTTTTATTCAGGCATCCGCTCATGTGAGTCAAATAGGAGAACGTCAAGCTGCTGCTTATAATTCTGTTTCAATCGCTGATGCTCAAAAATCGTTGAATACTACTTCCTCACTATCCTTCAAACCATCTTCATCCATTACTTCACCACCTGAAATTACTAGAACTGCGGGGTCTGTTGCTAATGACAATACTTTATCTACTTCTCCGTTACCGCCTGCTTCTGTATTCCCTACTGCGGTGAACTTTTTAATTATTAGTTTATTTTTCCATTTCTTAGGTCTGAAATTGTTTCAAGCAAAGGTCGTGTATAAGGGTCAAAGATAAACTTGTAAAGTGTTCGCATTGTCGTTTTCTGAAAAGTCTCATTCCCATATTATTTGCCTTAGAATAAATTCCAGTGCTGATTTTAAATATAGCAAGAAAGTTCAGGTTTCAGTAAAACTATTTTACCACATTTAAATTATTGTTGATCAAAATTAGCTTTTTTTATTGCAGTTCAATGGTATTCCCAATGTTTCCAAGATCTGTTCGTCAGCTTCAAGCTTACCGCAGACATTATCTTCATTTTCTTCAGCAAACACTACCACATTTTCGGCTTCTATCCCTCGTCCAGTACCTCCTCCGATAGCTCCAAAGCCAAGGATTGTCTCGAATCAGGTAAATCCAAACATTTGCCTTTATACTTTAACATGCACATTATAATCAAGTTTAAGCGATGTTTTATCATGACTGATTTATTTTAGAAATAGTGTCGTAAAAAACTTTTATTAAGTTTTACTTTTAGATCTTATGTTTGGCATCATTTTTCAGTAGAGTATCAGAATTATTTTTAAGATAAGGATAGGTTCGTGTAATTTCCATGAGTGCTTTGTATCTTAACCTTATGCTTTTTTGTTGTGAAAAAGATGGGCACTGAGTGCTTTACATTAATCTTGAATTGCGTGCTGATTTTCATCATTCTTTCTGCTTTTTTTTACTTTTTTTTGCATGGATTTGTATAGATAAATTACATGCCTCCGAATTTGTGGCTATTTATCATAGATTTTATCACTGTTTATATTCGATGATAAGAATTTAAACATAACAAATATTAAACTTTGCGCTGATGATGAAAAAAGCTGCAATTGATGGACTGTTAAATAGACTATACTAAGATAAATTTACGTGAGGTTATGGCGTAGTGTAGTATGATATGGATCTAAATCTGGAAATTGAATGTCTGAAGTTTATAGCATAATTTTGAATATCACACCTTAAAGATTACGTCTAATTTTTTTTACCATTGCGGTTTTTCATCTTTGAAAAATTAATTAGGCTTTTGATTTTTCACTTCCAAAAGTCTTAACTCAAGGGATTGTGAGGTTTAATGCAAAGCATTTGTTGTTTAATTCAGAGTGTTCGTAAAGTAATTATGAACTTTTAAGTAACTTGCAGAAATTATATCTCGCCGTCATACTTTTTTTCACTAGATAGTCCAATAAATTATCTGAAATTTCCAAAAATTAAATCATAGTAATTAGTAACGAAATTTCAACACGTCTAAAAATGATTTAATCCATAGAATGGCACTGCAATTAGTGCAACGTCACCGCTTGCTTCTTTTGACGAACAATCTGAAAATCCAAAAGAATGTACAGTTTCTACATCTCAGGTCCTTTTTTGTTTTTTTAGCTAGAAACGCTAGTTTTTTAATTTTTGACTAATTTCCCGTGAAAGAAAATGGAAATATTCCTCAAATATTTGGTGCTAGAGTTTTTTTGAATGCTATAAACAGTATTGCTTGAAAATGATCGTATGAAAATATTGCACAGAACAGATATAATGTTTAACCTAGAATACAGAAAAAGTATAAGTACTAGTTTTTGCTAGAAAATTTAGTCGGCAAGGGCAACAAAATGCAAAAATACGGAAGAGGAAGAAAATGCTAATTTCAGTCCTCTTCTGCGACTACCGCTTCCTCAACGTGTTGGATGTCAAATGTGAACCCTGAACGTCTGGCATTTACGTCAAAATTAGAAAAATTCGAGCGTGAAATTGAAATTAAAAGGCCAAATACTAACCCTACGACAAGATCTACTTTTCCGCCTGGTTAGCAACTTTTTTCTTAAAGGATGGACTTTTTTGTTTTGTCCTCACCGAAATTATTTAGAGTGGTATGTTCTAGTAATCACTCGTGACGTAAATATGTTAACATTCACATTAATCTTGCAGCAGCCAAAATAATGATCGTTATTAATAAAAAACAGCATGATTTTGACATCATATAATTTGCATAAGATCTTTATTGTCTTTGTATTAACAACACTAACTGCATGACTGCCGTAATTTAAACTGTAAGAACTTTTTCTTCATATTTAAAAGAATTTTCTTCAGTAGTAAGTAGCAGCGAATGTAGACTGATTAGAGTAAGTCTGTTTGGCAGTATTTCCACAGAAGAGTAACAGTTACTTAGGATTTAGAATGTATAATTTTTTGGTTGACATATGTAGGATTTTTATGGCTTTAAAAAAGTTGCTGTAATTTTTATCGTCAACGATATTTTCCGTAATCTGCCATAGAACTGTTTCAGCAAAAATTTTAAAAAGTTGGAGATTCGATGATTTTCATTTTGAAATCTTATTTTTCAGAAACTCATATATCTATTCAGAAATTTTAGACAAGTGGAATTTCGCAGTGTTGTTTATATTTGTTTCGTAGGTAATCAGTCTGTCATGTGGAAAATTAATACCAATGTTGCAAAATCCTTCGCTGTTCTAGAAAATATTGGTAAAACTTTTCAGTCACACAGGATGCTTACGTATAGCGTAAAAGGACCATGGCCATCAACGTACATTGCTGTGGTATCTGTCGGAATATTATTCTTGTAATTCGACGATCGTACATTTCATTTTAGTTCCTTTGTTTTGCTTCGTTTAATCATTCCATTACTCTCTGCTTGATCAATTTCGTATTTTAAGAATTTTCTCCAGAATCATAAGAAATTGTATGGACATGAGTGGGATATATACCACTGTGCATGAGTGTAAATTTATTATTGATTTCGTAGTCTTAACAGATGTTATGTACCCCCAATATGAAAGAAAATTTTATTGATAAAAAATGTATTTCCATCCGAATTATATCGCTTCTAGAAATTCAGTTTACTCCAATCACCCAAATAGTATCACTTAGTTTATAAACACAAAAACTGTCCGTACATCCAACATTGTTTTAATTAGTGATAGAAAGTTGAGACTTACAACGATTTCTCTTTCGACGTAAGAAATTGTATATCTTTTCAAATCAAAAAAGTCCCATCATAGAAGCTTTAATTTCTTTTTGAATTTGTGAGTTGGTTTCATTGGACTAACTTAAGATCAAAGAAGATGAAGCCGCAGAGATTTGGTTCTATTTGTTCTAATCATCTAATCGGTTTAGGAAATTAAGAAAGCTAACTGGAGGTATTTAAGTACTTCACTGCATTTGTTTGTTTTCAATGCATATAGATGTAGTCTTTCTAATTTTGAGATGGTAATGTCCTTTTGCATGTAAATTATTTTAAAACGGTGCGTATTCACTTTCCTTAATATTTGCATGAATCCTTGTTCTTTCTGCTTGTGCTGTGCTTCTTATCAATTCAATTACTTATTTGTATTCTGTCCTTCATTTCACTGTGAAAATTTGCTGAAGAAATGCCTGAACAACAGTGGCTCTTATTATTCAATGTGCTGCTCTGTGTTTCTTGTCCTTCATCTTTTTTTTTTGAAATACTGTATGATTGTTATTTTTTACTGAAAGTAAAAGTTCGAAATTTTATTTGAAAAATTTTTTATGTACAAAAATAATGATGATAGTTTGTAGTATGGTGTGAAGTTTGCCCTGGAAAGTTGTCTATAATATTTCAAAAGTGTTAGCTACTTGTAAAGAAATAATGTAGCGGTTAAGAAATTCCGTTGGTAATGCCTTTTGCATGTAAGTAATTTTAATGTGTTGGCTAAGAAATTCAGTTAAAAATGCCAGGGACTGCAATTGATCTGATCGTGTACGATCTATTGCTTTATATGATTTTATAGACATGCCTTCTGTTGGAAACAGTGCCTTTGATTAATGTAAATGTCTTTAAGAAAAGTAGTTAATGATAAAAATAATTTTTTTATGGCAAACAATCGTAAAATTTGTCTTAGTTATGTATTACAGCAAAAAAACCATTATTAAATGAAGATGAAGTTCGAAAAATGAAAGAAGAAGAAAGTAAGAAGGTGGCGAGTGGATCTTTACAGATGTCTGTAGGTCTTGAGAATGATGAACTTGATTGCTCTTTTGAACATATCCTCAATAACAGGTTTGTTTCATTTATTTAGTCAATCTGCTTTCAATGACTGCTTATATCACTTGTGTTTCGAGAATAATGTCAGCAATCAAAAAGCAACATTTCTTGTGTAGAAGTGTTAGATGTTTATATTCAAAACAAATTATGTATTTTATGGTAGTGATAAGATAATTATTGCTGATGTTTCGCTTTACATTGTAGTTACTACTACTTGAATGGTCACTGTTTTTATCTTTTTAATTGTATTTGTGGCTACTGGTTATTCTTATATTGTATCTGTATCATAGAGCTTTAATTTTTAAATATACAAGTTGTCATTCACCTGATCATAGTTACAATGAAGCTAAAAGGCAGCACAAACTGGAGGATATACTTTTAGTGCGGTACCACCTCGAACGATGCCAACTGTGATTCGAACAAAGAAAGCAGAGAATCGAATGGCAGCATGTTCTTCTGCAATTTCCGGTGGTGAACCTTTGAATTCAGTTGAACGAAGAGCTTTAGAATACCAGAAACGACATGAATGGCGGCAAGCTAGGTAACATTTTCATTCTATCTTTAACTGCAGTAACTTTTGATGTGGTGAAGACGGTGATGTTATAAGTTTTGAGATTAAGAAAGCTATGCTGTGATGTGATGAAATTGTCTTACAGATTAAAATCTTTGGAAGCAGATTCGAAAGCAGCTGAGGAAGTTATGCAACAGGTGGAGCAAATTAACAGTGTAAGTTCTTTGATGAAAATGAAGGAAATATATTGCTGTTTTTCTTGCACGTTTGCGTGGTCTTTTTATTTCAGAGGTTAGCTAATATAACAGAAGAACAGAGCAACTCTCCTTTGCCGGTGAATGAGAGGATTCTGCAAAATGAAACTTCATTTGAACATAATGAATATATCGATCCAGTTACGGGTGCTAGCACTGTTTCACTCGTTGAAAGTAGCATTACTCAGAGAGAAGTAAATTTTTAATTTCTGGCCCTAAGATTGTCAATTTTCTTGACCGTCATGCGATTTATTTATTACAGATAGAAAAATCAACTACGGTGGGGAATGAATCAAATGCTGAGATAGGCAGTAATTCGGGAGAACTTCGAGAGATTAACTTTGCAGACGAAAGCTGATTTGAATCGGGCTGCATGCATGTTAGCTTGATTTGTTCCTAAAAGTCCTGTTATAGGAACCAAAGTTCTTGAAGTGTCTTAAAATCATCATACCCAACAATTAATTCAAACTTTAAAATACTAGAAATTGCTCTTGAGTTGACTTCTCAATGGTTTTTGAAATGCTAATTGTAAAAGCGAATTTACTGGCGATTCAGCTTCTAGAAAATTTCTTAAAGTCAGCTTACACTCAAATTTGTACTGATTTCATACTTTGCATGCGAAAAGAGATCACTCTTGAAATATTTTAAAGTTTATTCAGTAAAGCATTTATATGTTACTGCGTTAAAATTAATAACTCTAGGACAGACATACAGTATTCGAAATACTGTTAGTGTTACTTGAGAACGTTTTTACATTTACAAATAATAATTTTCTGAAAAAGTTCGAAAGTTTTTATTCAATGTTAATAGCTAGCTTTGGTTCTTTATCCATTGTTCACTTTCATTCGCTAACTGGGAACCTAATCATCATCAAGTGTTAATTATGTTGAAATATCTCTACTTCTTGGTATTTTTCATAGTTTATCTTTTAATTTCATGTATTTGCTTTCTAAAATTTTCACTTCATTTAGTGGCGTGAAGAAAAGTACTCAAAAATGCATAACTGTTTTTGACGCTAAATTCTGTCTTCACAATTTCACTTTGACAAATCCAATTCATAAGAAACAAGGTAGGTAGCGGTGAAACTTGCATATTTAATTAAAGTCATATTAGGACAAGTTGCCTCATTCATGGGGAAATTTTTTTGTTGTTGAATGTGCCTCATTTCTTCCCTAGCACGTTTTTTTTTGTGTAATATCTATTCTTTTTCGTCATTTTTGCTTCTTCCATACCTAATTGTTATGCCTAGCATGTGTTCATTCAATAAAATTAGTTTGTTTTTGAGAAGAGCAGTTATAATTTATTCAGAATATGAATTAAGAACTTAACGATTCAGATCAGAAATAATAGGTTTTAATCGAACAAAGGCTTGAGTAAGATTTTGTTACATATCAAATGTTTTATTTATAATGTTTATTGTTATCTAGTGGATCCCTTCTTTTTATTTGTTCATTATGCAATAATTACTTTGTTTGTGGCAAAATTTCCGAAAACCTGATCATAGTTGTTTTTTTTTTTTCACTTTCTGAGCTAAATTATTAACATATGTATGGTGCCTAAGAATGCAATCAGATATTTCGAATTAAAATGGGAGGGTTAGAAAATAAACCTATATAAAGGGTTAGTTTTGAATAGGTTGTGATTTGAGGCCTCTCTTCTGAAACTGGTACATCTTGGGCAAGCTTATTTTTGGGTAATGTAGTATAGTTTAAGATGTGAAATTGTTTTAATTCTCGACTGTTTTTTGAATATGACTAGAAAATGTAGTTACAAGTGATGGTGTCAGTAAATAATGGTAATTCTGAAATTCAAGAAACATGATATTTCTATGTTATTGCTATCTATTATCACTTTATTACAATATCTATTATATTGTAGCTAGTAATAAAGAATTGTGGTAATTTTGATGTTTCGTTATCAGTTCGTTTCCATGCTGGTTGTGATATTTTTAAGTTATCAGTGCTTCCACTGAATTCTGGTTATGTAGTATGTTTTTATGTGCTTAATTAATGTATGAAGAGAGCAGTTTGAAATTCTGTTCAAAGTGATTATGAATTATAATCATTGAAAGGATTTTTGATTATGATATTATTGTTATCTGATTGATTACTGCTATAATAATGAGTAAACGATGAATTATTAATTAGTATTTGCTCTATGAAATGGACAATTTAAGTTAGAAAAGAGAATTTCCAATTGGTATTATTTAAATAAAGTGACATAGGTTATTTTCGCGTGTTTGAAATTGATCCAAAATTATTTTGGAGTGCATTTTCTCATGGAGGTCATAGGTCAAAGTGATGTAAATACAAATGGCGGTTAGGTCATTCAGAGTAAGAAATATGGTCTGTAAGTTAATTGAGAAGCAATGACAACTAACAAGATCAAATCACATGATCAAAGCAAACTGTAACAAGATCAAGTCGATTCATGAAGTTATTGGGTGCTTGAGGGAGATGTTATGAAGCATATGAATTCATTTTCGTTAAGTTTCTTGAATGGATTGTATCATGAAATATAAACCAGAAAACATTAGGTTCTCACGTTTGCCGGTATAACTCACTTAATTTCTCCTGTGACAATACTTTTGATCTGTCTTGCTTTCCGATGATGGCTGACTGTGGCAGTATTTGTACTGCGAGCAACACACCTTTGAATTATTAGATTTCAGTAAATTTAAGTGAGGTATTAAAGCTGTCGCTGGCACTTGCCATACTACCTGCAAGGCACTGCATGAGGCCGATTAAAGTTGTTGACATATGTCAGTACTGCCTGAAAGAAGTACCATCTGGGTTGGCGAAGTATTCAGGGACTTTGTGTGAACTTTACTTGGATGGAAATCATATAACCTTCCTTAGTAATGTATGTAATATATATTTTATTTTTATAGAACTGGTAGCAAAATGCTCAGAGTTATTTTTGTTAATTATTGCAAGTTTTTTGTTTAATGAGTAGTTATGCTGATAAAATTTTCTTGGTGCTTGCCTGAACATGATCGCCTACTGATTAGATTTTTGGCAGTTATGAATGTTTCTATTACTGCTGTGCAACGGTTATATATTTATGGTAATTCCGGTTAAGTTTAGATTCCGGAGACTAATTCAATCATCTTGTTTTGACGCAATTTACTTTCGATCATACTTGTAGTTTGTTAATAATAAATTAAAATTTACATCTAGTGTATTATTAAATATTGTTGTAGGTTGTGTTTGAATGCCAAAGTTTGCAAAAACTTTCGCTAAACCATAATAACTTGCTATGTCTACCGAAAGAAATAGGGCGGTTGACGCGTCTCCGAGAATTATCTCTAGTCGACAATGGTATTTCTGTGTTTTTGCATGCATATTAAAATTTATTAATTTTCTTAATAATTTTTCCATTTTTACCAATTTTATTGGGTAAGGCTTTACGTCTTTATTTTTCACTCACCTCGTTGGAATCGAATTATAAAAATATTTAAAAGCAGTTCAGTAAAGCTTATGACTAATTATGTTTATTGGTTTGTAGAGTTATCGGATTTGCCTGTTGAAATAATAAAATGCATGAACTTGCAAGTACTCGATCTTAGTTTTAATTCTTTAACAAGGTTCGTTTTCAATAAGTTCACATTTTATTTGATATAAGTGAAATTGTTTATCCGATAAAGTTTGCTTTTATGCTTTAGTTATCTTTCTTTATTTATAGGAAACGATTTACATTCATTAACTTTATGTGTGCATGTGTGTATTGTGAACTATTGCTTTGCCTTTCCGTAACTAATGCGCATGTGATGCAAAATAATTATAATTGCTTGAAGATTGCCAATCGTACTCTTTCAAATGCCTTCGCTGATTCACCTGAATTTATGTGACACATCACTGTCATATTTGCCCAGCAGTTTTGGATTACTTACTAATCTTCGCTTTCTTGATGTAAGCTTTTATATGTTTTGTTATATTAAAACTCTTATAATTTGTGCTTGACTGCTGATTATATTTTGGAGTATTTAATGTGCTGAGATAATCTGAGTTTGCTGTAGTTAATAAAAATGCTTTGCTTGTTTTGCTTCAGTTTGTTAATAATTAGCAAATCATTGTACTATGCTTCTATAGACATCTGAGTTTATTTTTAGCTGCGCGAAAATCAGCTGCGAATATTACCCGATGCGATTGGAGATTTAAAAGATTTGAAATATCTGGATGTGGGAAAAAATAATCTTATTGAGTTGGTTAGAATTCTGTTATTTTATTTTTTTGTTTTGTTAATTGGATCATTATCTTTTCGTTTAAGTATTATATTTTTTCCTGTACTTTGTCATAACGCTCATGACAAATTTAAATGGTGCCTAAACTACTGTTTATTGTAGATGGCATGTTCCTTAATTTGTGTTTCTTTTAGCCTTCTGCAATCGGCCTTCTGAATGGAATTGAGGAATTGCACGTAGATGGCAATTATTTAACTTCATTACCAATGGAACTGATAAGCTGCAAAATGTTGCAGATACTGGATATTTCAGAAAACGGCATTAAAAATTTGCCGTCAAATTTAGGAGAGCTCAACAATTTGAAGGAACTGTTGCTTGCAAATAATGCAATCACCAAACTCCCGTCATCTTTAGGTAATCATTGATATGCTTGTGCATTTTTCTACGAGAACGCAAATGAACTGTGTTAATTCATCCTATTTTACCTGTTTTTGTAAACGGTTCTCCGTTTTGTTGTCAGTAACTGTTTACCAGCTGTCTATTTTTTAATACTTGAATTTTCCAGAGGTTTTTTTGCGATAACATTGACTGCCATCTTTCATTCAAAAATTTTTTCCATATTCAGGCATTGTTTATAAACTCTGACTTTAAACATAAAGAGTGTTTTGCTGTCGCCCCTAACAGAATTACTGTTTCTGTAAGCTTTTTAGGATGTCTGGTGAAACTAAAGTTTTTGTCAGCATGTTGTAACCAGCTTGCACAATTGCCGGATGCAATTGGAAGTTGCGAATCACTTGTCGAAATTCGTTTAGTCAAAAATAATTTAAAGGTTACTTGAATTCTTTGTATTGAGGATTTATATTTTTACGTATTATTTAAATCTTATTAATTTTTAATTGTAGGAATTACCTCTCAGTATCGGAAATTTAAAGAAATTAGTCACATTAGCGCTTGATGAAAATCATATCATACAACTGCCTCCAACGGTAATTTATGGTTTCAGATTCGAAATTACTCATCTGCCTTTTTTATTGTCGGTCGTTCACTCTTAATTATTACTTTTTGATTGCAGCATTGTTTTGATTGATATAAAATAAAAAGCTTACAAATAAGTTACAAAGGAAAAGGAGTAAATTGTTTGAGTAATTTTTTCCTCGTCACGGAACTTGATTTTTGAACGAAAAAACAATTGCAGTCATGTAAATTCATTGTTTGACTAACAAAAAGGTATTCAGATCGGTTATTGTCAAAATTTGAAGTATTTGACGCTGCGAAGTAATGACTTAAATGAACTTCCTTTTGAAATTGGTCGTTTGCAGAACATACGTATCATTGATGTTATTGAAAATAAACTTTTTTTCTTACCATATTCAGTCAGCGTTTTGAGCAAGATGCGAGCTCTTTGGTTATCGTTTACTCAGGTAATTTTGATTGCCAATCAAAAAATAATGCCATTACCACATCTCATATCCATATTTAAAAGTATGCTAAGAAAATTTTCTTCTTTCCATCAAGTACCAATTTTGTTGCAATATTTCTCTCAGAAAACGCCATTGCCGCGACTTGTTATCGCAAAGGATTCAGTGACTCATATCAAAGTTCTTACTTGCTATCTCTTACCTCAAGGAAAGTACCAAGGTAGTCTCTGCACTTGAACTCTTGTTTACTGTCCATTCTCACTTCATTTCTATAACAGCAAATGGTTGTGAAAGCTCTAATAACTCAATTATATTTATATAAAATTGATTGTAAGTTTTATTGAATTGTTGTAGGAGACAAGATATAATTAAGCTTATTGTATCCTACTTAATTCAATACTTCATACGAAACTTATGTAAAGAAGCTAGTTTCTTTCACGTAGTATATTATTTAGCTGAAGCCGGGCAACCCTGTTCTAAATCATTACATGGTGTCTCATTTAGCGATGAACCGGAAGAGAGAAGTTCTGAATTGGGGCTCTTTCAACGAAAAGGAACTCCATATCCAAAATTTAGAATCAGTCGTAATTCGATGCGTAGAAATTGCATTGATGGGCATTACATTTCACACGTACATTTTCTTGTTGATTTTTACTACCACTTAGTCATAGTCTTTACTCATTCCATTTACTTCTGTACTCTCAGTTAATTGAATGCTTGAATTCACTGTGAAATTAATCATAATTGACGAATTTTAGTGCCCTTTCGAAATACTTCTAATTAAAGTTTGGTTGTTTGCGTGATCAGTCTACTTGCAGAAAAAAGAGAGTGATTTGGTCAAAAAGCCACAGAAAACTACTGACTGTGTGAAGAGAATAGATCTTACAGACAAGTTTACATCAGTAGATTTAGATCTAGAACAAAAGAAAAAGAACATAAACGAGGTAAGGAATATTGCAATTGGTTTCTAGCATTGTGAATGCTTGTTTATGACGAGTATTGTTTGGCTAAAAGAGCCTACTCCAGGCATGTGTAGCCGGCATCTTGATATTCTGCTAAGTTTTCTTTCAGAAGAGTAGTATGACTGTTTTGAGCGCAGTATTACCTACAGACATTAAGAAAAGTACCTTTGAAGAAATTAGACAGGGTTATTTTTTCTCAGTTTCACGAAATTTGGAAAGTGGTTTTGGTTTTACTATTGTTGGTGGCCGCGAATCAAAACCGTACAAGGTGGAATCATATTATTTATATTAGGAATGTCCTGGTGTAGTGTTTTATCGTAATGTTTAATATTTTTTTATCAGGGTTTATAATTTTTGTTGAATTACTTGTTAAAAAGTGTAAGCTTCTTCATTGCATGCTCTTATAATAATAATCCATGAACTTTTGAAATCAATTCTATAGAAATCCTTTGCAGGAAAATGACACAGGTATATTCATATCAAAGATTGTTGTTGGCAGTCCAGCAGAATTAGCAGGACTGCTTCCGGGAGACAAAATAATTTTCTTTAATGGTGTGGATGTTCGCAATGAATACCACGATGTATGTGTTTTGATCACTATGATACACTCTTTCAATTCTTATATTTTTTCTAAACATCCATCTTGCAGACTGTTGCTGAGATGATGAGGAAGGTTATGGTGTTAGAGTTGGTGGTTCTACGACAAAATTCTCCTCAAAAGCAACAATTAAGCTTTTTTCTTGTATAAATTCATATTAAAAGTTTTAGTACTTGCATCACAGAAAATAATACCTCAAGTGTATGCGATATTCTATTTTTGAAGAACTGTTGTAATGTTGTCATATTTTGAGATTGGTTTTAGGCGAATGAGGAATATAAGAACGAAAATAAAACTTTAATTTCAAAAGGAAGTCCGTCATTGGAAATTTCATTGTTAAATACTCAAAAAATTGTTACTAACTGGTTGAAAATCCACTCCAATGAAAAGTTAGAGAATCCTGGGACGAAATTTCAAAATGTTAGAAACAAATATTCGATTCCATCTTTTTAATCATATTGTTTCGATGAGGAAAAGACATTTCAAATAGGGGCAAATTCAGTTAGATATTGCTTATGTTGGAAAAAAATGCAGTTTGTGTGTCAAGTGCATTCTTCTAATATTTTGGTACATCAGAATGATTAAATGATCAGAAATGTGACGGAATAGGGATTATAAATGATCTTCGTCGAAATCCCTACCTAGTTATTTGACAGATGATTCGCATCGACTTTATGCTTATAATATTGTGTTACTATTCTTTTAAGAATGAGCGTGAGGAAGTTGGAACTGCCCAGAAAAGAAATAAGCGAGAAAAACCTCCAGTTCCTCCGAAGCCATCCAAAATACATCTGTCATCTGTTAGTTTTAAGTGTTTTTTGTATAAAAAATTAGCCTTATGAATACAACAGATTTGCTCAATTTTTCTTGTCCTTTATTAAATAGCACATAACTCGTTCTGCTTTTTTATTGTTTTATTATTTTCTATTTTAATCATTTTTATCTTTATAATTATTTAATAATTTTTATAATTTTCTTGATATTTTATCAGTGTTACTGTTTGATGATCTACCGTTTATCTGTTTCAACAGACTTGCATACTGAATTCTATCCAGGTAATGAAAGAAGTCGAACACGCTAATTATGATAATATGTTTTCAACAGTTGTGGATTGTGCTTCACCTCATCCAGTTAGCACTTCTTGTTCAGAAAATGCTGAAGAAATAAGTTTAGGTAATTTTTTTTTTGAATCCTATCGGTAATTTCATTAAAACATTGAACTTCATGGTTATCAAGTAGAATTTTGTGCATCCATAAAAGTAATTGTTATGTTTCTTAAAAGTAACTTTTCATGAGAAAAAATTAATTTGAAATTCATCTTTATATGCTTCGATTTCCTCGTCAGTTTTCCTGTTGCCAGTGATACATCTGAAGCAGAAATATCTAATTAGCATGAATTTTTGCTAGAAGATAAAGCCTTGAAAAATTGTACACTGCGCACTGTGTGGTCATTTGTAATGAAGTTCGTCATGCTATTAGTCATTTTTTGATTCTAATTTTTTGCAAAGTATTAAGTATTAACTTCAGTTACAAAGTTTGAGATTTAAATTTCTTTCTTCATTGTATTTCATTTCATAGTGTCTCGACATACATTCTTCAAAGTTCTTAATATAAATGGTTCTAAAAAAATCACTGTAATTTTAATTTGAAAGCTAATGAAAATTTTCAAATTTTTTGCATTTAGGTACTTCGCAAAAAGTTGAAAGTTTTTGATTTATTCCAGAACTTGCTAGAAATGAAAGAGATAATAGTAGCATCAAAGCTGAGAAACCTGTATTAAATGTGGTGTCATGCAAAGTTTCAGATGCTAATGAAAGAAATTGTACTGCCGAAAGGTTATTAGAAAAAGTTAATTTGAAATTTTTTATATTTCGACCAGTTTTTGACAGTTTCTTTCATTTTTCAATAGTTTTTTGAAGATTTTTTTAGTATGGTTAAAAATGGCAATGGCAGTTCTGAGGGAGTAAGTTTTAGAGGAAAACCACAAACAACAGAGTCATTGGTATTGAAAGCATAAATGAGATGGTTCAAAACGGTTTAAATACTACTCACCATGTCAGTGAGTTTTGCTTGAAATCCCTGCACCTCATGTTAACATTGAAATAACGAAACCTTTCTTTATCAGTGAAATGTCAGAACCAGAAAATTTTTATCACTTAAGTAATAGGGCAGACAATTCTACATCAGTTTATTCATTAAGATAAAAGTTGTATCATTATATAATTAATATATATCTATTGAGGTGTGGACGTTTAGGTGAAATTTGATAAAATTGTTCACGTGAATTTTATAAGCAACAAGTAATTTATTAGCTAGTATAGTATAATAATTCGTTATATTCTTTTTATGTAAACTCGTTTTTGTATTTCTCTTTGTAATTGTGATATTTGTGCTATTCGTTTTTAGCAGCTTGTTATGTGCATATTTATTTTTGAAGAAGCGTTTCAGTAATGCATGTCAAAAAATGAATGGAACTGAAGATAATAATCATCGTCAAAGAGGAAGTGAAATAATGCTGAATGCTTGCTTGTAAAAATCGTCCGAACTGTTAAAAGTTGTGTGAATATTTATTCAGTATTTCGCTATTATTTGTTTTTGCGAAGAAAAGCCTAAAATGAAGAATGATATTAAAAAATTGTATTCTAGTATACGACTATTGATTCTGCTTGAATTTGACGTTTTCGCAAGTAAAAAAAAATTCATTTGCTATTGATGTATGGAATAAGAACTGAGCTTTCTTACGAATACAGATTAAATTAAATTTTAATGCATTCATATTCTTTCTTGTATTCTTTACTGAGTCAGTCATATGCCTAAGCGAAATTTATTCTTTGTTGTAATGCTATTTGATTATTCAGTACATATTGTTTTGTAATAATTTCGTTATCGCAAATTCGATTAAAATCTGATCAAATTTTCATCCATCTGTTTGTGTTGTTTACTTGCGGTGCAACTTTATCATCTTGTTTGGTTCGCATTTCTTCGCCTGTACTCAGATTTTTCCCTCTCTTCGATTGTATAACTAAATAACACAGCACATAGTTAACACTGTCATCATTTCATTCATTCTTGATGATATTAGATTCTAGATATATTTTTCATTATTGAATTCCCTTTGCAAAATTTGTCCATGTTTTATAGTCGTTCTCTTTTTGATATATTTTTAATGGTATTTTAGTCTTAAAGATGCGTGCCACAGTTTTCTCGAATAAACTTATTTTTCTTAGATGAAATTGTGTGAACTTGACTTGTAATCATGATGACAATCTTTTAAGTGGAATATCATTGTTTGCTTTGTGATATTTCTGAGACTATCGTGGTGTGATATTTCAAAATTAATAAAGTTAACTTCATGAGAAACTCATTTATCACCGTGAATTAACAGCATTGCATGAGAACGTATGGTGCGGTCATGTTACTGAGAATATTCCTTCGATTTATTGGACTTCCTTTCATTGAAAAGATTCGACGATGACCGGGTTCTCTCATCTTTTGGGAGTCAGAAAGATTTGGAAGTCATTTATCAACACTGAAATCTTTGATTTGCTAGTGCTGTGTAAATGTATGATTGGGGCGCAAAGAAGCTGAATCTTGGATTGCTTCGTGAACTACACGTAGAATTTATTTTCCGTCGTCAGTGGAAAAGGCTGCACGTTGTGGTTTACTCAAAGACCGAGGGTTTTTTCGGTGCAGTTGACTGGGATGTCTGCTCAAGGCCACAAAGGAAACCTCCCTACGAGTCCGTCTTATGTGCATGCATTCCCTGTGATCATTTTATTTATTTTGCATATTTTAAGTTGGAAAAAAACAAGTCTTTTTAAATTATTAACGCTTATAAATAAGTGTTTACTTTGGAACACGGGAGTAATTGTATAGACTAGATAAATAAGCAAACGTTAAGTTCACAGAGTTACGCTTGAATATTAGTGACATTAGCAAAATTTTAGTTTGAAGAGCAGTTTCATGCAGCTTGAAAAAGCTACTCCAGCTGTCATTGTTTGTACTGCATTTCAAGTTCAATAAAGTAATAACTTATCTATTATCATAAAAGCACGGAATACAATAATGTAAGCAATCACCTATCAGTTCACACTGCAGTACCATAGTATCCCATCAATTAGATTATTAATTAGTCTCTTGCAAGGTGTAAGTTGTTATAGCAAATGTAAGCATCGGAATCGATTTAATATATTACCGTTGCATTCGTAATTAACACTTGTAATAGTTTAATTTGTCTGATTATTGTTATCGTGATCACTGCGCAGTTACCATATTTTCATTCGCATGCATAATTATCGATAGTATCAGCGCAAGATGAGGCGTACTTCCTTCTTTACACCTCTGCATTTCGCTTTTAATTCTTTAAACTACTAATTAACTAACTATTAATTTTGTTTGTGTACAAATTTTGATTGTAATTCTTTGCTGAATATCACATATCCTCTTTCGTTCTATTTTAGAAGCCACTGTATTTCACATTTGAACTTTAACTCTGAATTGTAATTGCCAGCCTCATCGCATGTAACTAACTATAAGGAGAGGGACGTGATTCCGATTGTTACGTATGTTGTGTATAGAAAAAGATATCAGCCATACTTTGTTTAATTATATATATGCACATGCCATACTTTTTTGCAGAAATTTTATTCGAATTCTATTTGAAAAAAAGGAAAGAGATTAATGCTTCTTTATTTTCTTGAGATCTTACATACTATTAATGAGTAATTAATTGTATATTTCTGCGTTTTGTTCTATCTGCTTTATTACTTCAGAATCTATAAGTTGATTTCTAGATTTTATTATGACTGAATGAAATTAATTTTTAGATTGTACTTAAAAGGTTATCTAAAATTACTTTGAAACAATTAATCCAGATAAATGATTTTTGGCTTAAAATTATCATGATCGTTGGTAAGAGTACAAAACAAGTAAAGAAGCAATGTTAACTATACGAATTATTGAAAACAGTATGTTTAAAAGTCTGAAACATTTCAAGCGTTTTGGTATGGTAATAGGAGATTGAACCAAATTTAATTAATTAAGAAAATAGCCGACAAATTATTCCACTCTCATCAGAAGTAAATACTATGGAAATCTGGAAGGCACGTTTTGATCTTAACAGCTTTGAAGACGGAATTAAATGCCTTGATTATATAATACAACCATAGTAATAAATATTCACGCAGAAGATAAATGAGTTTTCTCAAAAAAATTGGCGTAGAGTAATTACATGCTAGGAAATTTATTGCGTCTCAAAAAAATTTGAAATCCATTATAAGCGTGTAGGGTCAGGAAAAAAAATCAGCAGCGTTATAAGATTACATTTACGTTCGTGACCCACAAAAGATCAGTAGTGATGACCCTTCTTGTCTTGTTTCGAAAGTAAAAACTTGATAGACTACGCAGATTTTAATTAATTGTCAGGACTGCTAAACTGCCTACATGGAAATAGATGAAAAGTTATGGTGTAGAGGTAATAAATAAGTTGAAAAGATGTGCACATTTGGCAAATGAAGTGGCGAATTGATCAAAAACTATTTCAATTATATAAAATTATCAAAGTAGTATTCTCTGTAGTTTTTGACCATACACTGATGTTTATCACAATTACACTCGTAACAATTTGCAGTCTTAATAAGGTTTTATCGACTGATTGATTGATTGATTGAATTATTAAAATAAACTATCAAAAATTTTAACTTATGACACTGTTATTGCTTGTAATATATTTTTTGAAAAATTGGAATTCTCTTCAAGCACTTGAAAAGATTTTCCAATATTAATAATTAAGCAAATATCAGCGAAACAAACTGGAAGGCGACGGTACCAGGCTTGTGTCATCCAACACATCCCACAGGGCCTGGCGAGGAAGAGCCTAAGCCTTGCCATTTTTGGCATTTTGGCTTTGGCTTGAAATACCAATGGCCCCAATCAATTCTTCCATCTCTTGGCTAAAAATTACAACTGCAAATAAAAAAGATAGCTAGCTAATTGTTGGATGAGTCATTCTGCTTTTGCTCGTTTTTGTCATTCAATCTATCCTTTGTTAAATGCAAAATAAATAAGTGAATAATAGCATGAAGCTCAATCTCAATCGCTCATAAATGCTTCGTATTTTAAATCATGCATTAGTATTTGATTTAAATCTCTTCTCATTTAATTCTCAAAATTTGAAATCTGATTTTTCTTTGGATTTTAATTCAAAAATCAAAAAGCGCTACGCAAAAAACACTGTAAACTATGTTTTGAATTTAATTTGTTAAATTCTTTCTTCATTTTATGAATTTTACCATGTGCTTGTCATTTGGATCCTCGACTGAGCACTTAGAAGACTCGTTTTTTAAATTCTATATTGAACCGCCAAAATTTTATTGAAGTACCGTTTGCATTCTATCAATTATGGCTATTGTTTTATTCGATTTTATCGAAAATTTTTAGATTCCAAATATTATTTATAACTTTGCATTGATTTACAGCTTTCTGTATTGAGCTAATTTTCAATCAGAGTGAATAATTACTGTTCTTCTCAATTTCTTCATACTGCTTCTCAATTGTTATTAATTTAATTATTTCAGTTTAAGAATTTCTTGATTTTTTATTTTAATTTCGTATTTTCATGCTTTTCTGTCCTAATTTTATGCATAAATGCAAATATTTGTGGTGCTTTTCTTCAAAAAAGAAAGTATTAAACACAGTTTGTGTTTCGTTTATTCCCTTTGATCGTTTAGCATTTATGTAAGTTTCAACTCGAAGGCATTTATTGAGAAGGCTTCGCTTCTTGCATTTCTGCTCCGAAAACATTCACCTTTTATTGTCTTTCATTCCCACATGTCTGCAGTACTATTTATTTCTTCTGTTAGTAGCGACATAATTCGCAAGTCTATTATCAACGCAAATTAACACATCATATTTATAGTAAATACTAATAATAATATTATTATTATTATAAACAATAATATTAACAACAATAATAATAATAACATCATGTGCAGCAGGTCAGGGGTTAATTTTTATTTCTGTCTTCTTCATTGTCGCGCTCGATCGTGTTCTGGCACTCTCGCTGTACTCGACCGGCAGTCCGTTTTGCTGATTCCGGTACACTGGTCGAGTGCTTTCCTATGACTTTCACGGAGTTTCCTCCAATAGTCTCATCTGTTTTCCATTCGTTTTCAGTTAAGATTTCAGGCTCCGTTTTTTTCAATTAATCCTCCATTTCCTGCTTTCCTGCTTTGTGATGCGACCGATTAGCTGGCAGCTCAACCGCTCGGCAACTCGTCAGAGCCGAGCGATATATTATAATAATAACAATAAGAAATTCATATTTTACTTGCTTAAATAATAATAATGTTAGTAGTAGTAGTAGAGAATGAATCTTATTTTGTAATTTTTTAATGCCTATGTCAAATTTATATTATTGATTAATTAATTCATTCTCACTGATCAAAGAAATTAGGAAAATGTCGAGAAAGAATAGCTGATGTAAAATTAATGTAACTGTGAAATCGTATGAGTAATTAATGACTTAAAAAAAGATTGGCCATCAGTTGTTGCCTGTAGAGAAATTCAAGAACAATGATAAATATACAATTTAAAGAAATCACCACGTAGAGAAATTCACGTTTTAGAAAATTAAATCAGTTTCCAGATGTTTTTTGAGTTCATTCCGCTATCTGAATGCTATTTTCTGTAAATTCGGTTGTTTATGCAAACTTTTCACTTCTTTGCAAATTTTCAAAATATGATGATGGCCTATGAACTTGGTAACAGTGATTTTCATGATCTCGAAAAGTAATAAAAGGGATAAAAAATGATGTGGGAACATTTAGAACAAAGATCTTTGTTTTTATGAGAAATTTTAAAATTAATCTGAAAATTGGACAAGAAATGGAAATTGAATAGAACGACAGGTGGTCTGAGTGTGTGCTTGGCTTACCTGCGGGATGACATCATGAAGGTCGTTTCCAACATCGCAAAAAATTTGCATGATTATTATTTACTCGATAAGGCGTGCATGTGGTGCGCATTGGTCATTTCACGTATTATATGACTTGCATTAAATTAGGACGATGTGCTTATTACAATAACTCTTTGAATGATGGATTAAAACTGAAGAAATTTTAAGATGTGTCTACCTTCTCTATCAGTGATTTGTTGTTGTCAAATACTGAGTTCAAATCAGATCTGATCTGATTAGATATTATTATTCGCAAAACACAAAGCATTACATAGATTACTGGTATGATTGTGATTGATAGTGTATTATTATGAGTTGATAAATATTATTGATAAAATTGATTGGTGACAAGGTGCAAATCAAATATCAGTGAGAATAAATCAGAACTTTGATAATTACAAAATGCTAATTAAGACTATAATAGCATTTGATCCAGTGCTAATGCTAAGTTTTTATGATAAAAATGATTAATGAGTTGGAAAGGTGGATATGACAGGCTGTGACAGAAAGTAAATACTTACTTCATCTTCTAATACATTAGTTTTTCGAAGTATTCTTTGAGAACTCGTAAAATGTTAATCAGTTTTCTTTTTGATTACTTTTAATGTTGAAAATTTGCATTTTCAACAAAATCTGCTGTCTTTTCGCGTTTTTTCTTTACTTTTCGTGTTTGCGCAAGAATAATAATGGCTGAGCTGAGACACGAAGGACTGTCTTCAAAGATTCAGTATTTGTGACCAATGGTTTAACGAATTAAGATGGCAGATGCAAGCTATTTTTATAATCATTTAATGATTTTATCGAGAAGAATTTAAAACTAAATGCGATGGGATACTGTATTTATCCAAAAAATATTATTCATTTTGGTACAAAATTGTTTGCAAAATTTTAAAAATTGTGACTTCATTTTTTTGATTTTACCTATTATATCGCACACTATTATAATAATTAAGATTGGTGATAAATTTCGCATATTGTGCGCAAATGCATGCTTATTTACAGTTCAGTCCAAAAATATAAAATATTTAAACAAATGCTAAATATTTTATCAATTATGTACAGTGCATCGATGTTATCCGCTAAGTAACTTACATTCTTGCATCTGTTGTTTGGCTTTTGTAAAATTAGTCAAATTTGTTCCTTTAGCAAATTTCCGATTTTAATAAAACGCAAATTTTTGCACAAAAAAATGAAACAATTAACTTTAATGCTTTTGCATATTTGTTTGTATGTACCATTCAGTCTTTTTTACAGGACGATTATTCGCTCTTCCCATTTTATGCTTCCGTGTTAACGACTTGCAATTGCTTCTGAATTACGCAGGCAAACATTCTGAAATTTTTTGACGGTTTTGTACGCATTTTTTAATATTTACTTGTGAATTTTATTTTAAAACAAAGCAAAACTTTCCAATATTTACTCTTCTAAAGTTATGATAAATAAATTATTAAAATAAGTTATTATTGAAATAAAAACGTATTGAAAAAGCTTACTAATATTAATAAAAAAGTTCATTCCATTGGCTTTTTGGATTTGTAATTTACAGCATTTAATCACAGCAACGTCAGTAATAATAATACTTTTATGCAAATAAGTATCAGACATATTTAGTACTGACAAATGTAATTTTCATCTTCTATTGCATACAATAAAAACATTAAGTACAATTATAGTAAAGTTTAGCACAGTGTTTGTTTGTTATTCGAGATTTCCGAAACATCTAAAAATACTTTTTTAACACTCTAAAATTTTATATTATTAACACTTCTAATATTGATTGATAGCGATGCTATATTTAGTACTGTGCTAGAACTACCATTATCTACCATTAGTGCTTTAGTTACATTAATTCGTTCAGTGATGATAGATAAGCAGATGCAAATTTTAATTTGCTTCTTGTCTTGACAGTTCATCAAGGAGTTTACTCTTGTATTCATTTCTCTTATCCAGAGTGATAATAGTTCAGTTCAGCTTTGTGGCTAAGGCTAATCCTTGCTGTGCTGCCATATCGATGACAGCTATGAAATTTGACTAAATAAAAAATGTTGTCTGATTTTTCTTTCTTTTTCATACAACCACAAAAAAGAACTTAGTTTTACTCAAAATTTTTTCTCATTTACAAATTTGGTAATATTATTATTTTTGTTTTTACTTCCTTGAAAGGTAGTTAGTTCTACGACTAATTTAAATTGGCTTCAATTTTCTACACAATGAACTTTTCCGCCTTGCATAAGTCACAATGAGTAATTTTATTAATTAAAGTTTATATTTATTTCTCGGCGATTGACTGAACAGTACTTGAATATTCATAATTCTGCACTCAAGATTTCTCATGATCATTGTGGTGCTGCACATATTATTATTATTTTTATTCACTATCTCGCAACTTGAATACTCCCTTTTGTGCAAAAGGAATATTTAAGATGGTAACATGAGAAATTATCAGTTAAGAATAAATTTAATTTGTTATTTTTTCATAAAATCAACTCGAATTCATTTTCACAAAAATCAAATGCTTTCAATTTCATACTTTAAGTTGTTTACAGCAACTTTTTTTGTTCTAATAGTGTTAATCCCTTATTAATAATAATAGCCGGATTTTAAGAATACATTGGCAATAATATTAGGATTATAATAAAAATATGACTACTATTATTACACTTAAAATGTCCATATATATATACTACTGGTGCCATCAACAGTACTTAAAAAGTACTTCTGTGTTTTCTGAAATAACTTGAAAATTAAGCTGTATTCAGAAGCGTTTCAATACGGAATATAAAATGTAAAAAGAACTGATAAGTCAATGTCGATATTTTGAGATATGCTTCAGTGCTAGCAATTTTCTTAACACTTATAGTTTCTAAATTATATCTCAAAAGTTTGAAGTGTATTTGAAATTAAAGAAAGCAACTGCTAGTCACATTACATACATATTATTATGCGTCTATTTAACTACCACACACGCGGTAATAGTGGACTGTAACCAAACAACTTTTTATTGCTTTAAAGCAATACACACTTGGATATCTAATAAAAATTTAATTTTTTTGAGGTCTGAACCTAATATTCTTTTTTTGGTTGCAATCTAAAACCCAAACCAAACAATTATTTTAAAAAAAATGAAAATTTTATGACCAAAATCAATAATCACAGCATATTTTGCGCTATTTCTTACTTACATAAACAATAAAATAATCAGCAATTCAACTCCAAATCCCAAGCTAAACAATAAAATAAACACAGTCTTATGACTAAAT